TGTCAACTAACATTTTCCAGAGAGAAAAATATTAAAACAATATTTTAATATAAGAGACAATTTAAAAAGCATTAAGGATAGTTGCATAAAGGAATAGAAGAGAAGATGTAGAAGGCAGGAGAGAGACATGGTGACATGGGGAATTGAGACAGAAGGGAAGAGATGGAGGGAACCTGAGGTATGTATCCAATTTAGGAAAATAAAGTCTGACTCCTTCAAGTAAAATGAAGAGAGACAGATGAAATAGTGGACAGAGAAAGACTTGACAGTTTGATTCTAAGATGAGTGTGTTAATCAGATTAAATTTCATTTGGCATATCCTTCTGTTTACTTGGACAGTGATGTCAGAGTAAGTTATTATTTATTAGTTCTATCCCTTGACATCCTGATTAGCTCATCAGCAATCAGTCACTATTCACAACTCTTCAACTGCTTTTATTAAACAGCAAAGCCCTCTTCCCCCAGTCAGCAAATTATTCTGGTTTGGGAAAGAGTAATGTCTTTTCCGAGAGTGCTTGCCCCAGGCCAGATGAAATGTAGTCGTGCTGCTACAAGACTCAGAATGAATCATGGAATCTTAAGAGAAATTTTAAGTATTCTATGGTTTCTAGGGAATTTAAGGGCATGCCAGCCACCTTTGGATTAGTGCAGGCTTTGATGATTTTCAAGAGGGAGGGAGGATTGAGCAATTGGTTAAATTGTATACCTCGATATGCTGGCTGATTCTGTGAATGTCTTCTTAGTTTGGGCTGTATAAACACAGTATGCACGTTATTCTTTGCTTTTGTGTTTATGAATTAGAGCAAAACTCACATCCAGGTGTATTTGTAGCATAGATTATCCTGAACCCAGTGAGCACAGTGGAGTTCCTTTCAAGATTTCTGAGGATGGTCCATTATCTTTGGAAAGAGTCCAAAACCAGTCTATGCAGGTTGACGGTTTTTTTTTTACATATTAGATTTAATCATGAAAAGTTATGTATAGAATAAATATTTTTTAAATTGAGTCATATTTTCCTGAGGAAATTTGTTCTCACAGAAAATAAAAAATGCTTTCATCCTTTTCTGGTGAAAACCAAACATTAAAATACAAGCTTTTTTTCAGTGAATATTTCACATTTGTCAGTGTACAAATTACAGTAATTTTCTATACAAGAAGTTAGTCGAGTGTATCCATGATCTTGGACATACAATTAAAAGCAAATAACTTATATCCATGTTACTGAGATTTCTCCCTCAAGGTGTAGGACTGGAATATTTAAGCAGCACACTGTGTGGCATTGTGTCTTGCCTGTAGTGACATTGCCTGGCAAGTAGAGCCATAAAAAGTTGTCTTTTTTCTTAGATTTATGAGACTTTGGTCTTCTGTGGTCAAAGTAGGACTTAAGATGAATCAACGTGAACTTTGAAAACATGAATATGCTTAAAGCAGTGCTGGCCTTAAAATGGAGTGATATTGGTGGGGTGTGTTTAAACTATTTTATCCTACCTGTATTTTTTAATAATTTAGGCACCTATCAAGCCTGTCTTTTGAATCCTATAAAAGCTAACTAGAGTGCCCTTATGTAGGACCAGGGAATTAGGAGCATTGATATGCTGGCTCACCTGGCAAGGAAGTGCTGTGGTGTTAAATCTTATGCTGGGTTAGTCAAGTTCTAAAACCCAGAATGTAAAACCAAAAATCCCGTAGATTTAAGTTATCCTTGTAAATCCTTTCAATTGCCTATAAAGTACAATATGTATAGTTTTGTATGTATGATATATACATTTTGTATGTATGTATATAACTTGGAACAATAATTCTTATGTACAACATAGTCTGGGTTCAATAATTGTAGACCCAATTATTGAACAATAATTCTCATGTACAACATAGTCTGGGAACCACTGGGCTCAAATAAAGGAAGGCACAAAAAGGGTACTGTCTGGACACGCAAGCCATTCTTTATGGTAGCTGTCCAGTCCATGGAGAAGTGGAGAATTCTAAAGACTGCCTACTTGCCTGCAGGATTTACTCCGTTCTGTTGTAAGATCTAGCCTTTATAATCTTCAGATATGTTAATAGATTCGTTTGGTTTTGTAAGGATTGAACTAGACAATAAACATAAAAGCACCTTGCTCAGGACCAGGTGATGTGATGGATATAAATCTTAATGTTGCCTGTCAGGCCCACAGATGTACATTGTTCATCTTCAACTTTCACTTTGGAAAGTTGTAGAGAAGAATTTGGCCACCTGCTTTCTGTCTTTATAGGTTGGGCCTTCCCACTGTTCAGCAGTGACATGTTCTTGCAAACTGGCTTCGTCTATGGGCCAGCTGAAGGCAGAAGTGGGTGAAGTTTTTAGTTCTAAGGTCAGCCCTACTTTTGACACATATGATGTATGTGACTCAGTTGAATATCCTATATAACCTTGGGTTTTGTAGGGCCCCTGTTGGTCTTCTAGAGTATATTATTTGTGTATAAGAATCACCTAATGAAATTGTGTAACCCACTTGCCTAGATTATCCATCGTGGAGTCATGAATGTATGTTTTTGGGTGCATGCGATTATGTGTTTTTAGAAAACTATTCTGTGCTTCTCATGTAACTATCATGTTGCCTTTGGAACCCAGTGATCAGGAGAGCCCTTGGGGGGTACATATTTTGCCACAAGAGATTGTGAACATTTCTGATCCTATTTTAGCTTAAATTATTTAGGAAATGACTACTGTGTTTTTCATACAGATTTAAAAGGACGTAGTTTCACTTACTAAGTGAATCAACCATTTATTAGGTGAGTCATCCGTAAGATTCATCTTTTAGTAGACATAAAGTTAGCACCCTTAAGTTTATATATTTTAAAAATTGAATACCAAGTCATTTATTTGCTTCGGTAGCAGGGTCTTTGATTTCTACCCCCATGTATCACTGAAATGATCACCTAAGGTTTTGTTTGCTTAGTTTATTTTCAATAACTTGGTTCTGAATTGTAATCGTTTTTTTATTTTGAAGGGAAGTTGGTATTTCTTAGAATTTAGTTTAAGTTCAGAATTTTACTCAAAATTCAGTTTGAAAAGGAGACACATATTTCATCTCTAAGGTGAGGAGTTTTAGCATCAAGCTTCCTGTACCCCAACAAATGTTGCTGTCTTCACTGTCTTTACCTCTGATTCATGCATGGTCCCACCCATTCTGTTTTTTCTTGGATTGTGTCTCATCAGTTCTGCTCCTTTTCTTTCTCCTTAGTCTCTTTCTCTCTTTTTATCCCAGTTTATGAACAAAATCTGTTTCCCCACACTCAAATAACCAGCCCTTCTTTCCACCTTGCTACTCCTCAGTCTGTCACACCATTTTATCTCTTTGCTTCCTATTCTGGCCAGTGTTCGTGAAAGACTAACTGTGCTGCATCTACATCTTCATCTCTTGCAGTTTGGCTTCTACTTGCACCGCTTTATTGGAACTCCAGTTTCTAAGAGTCACCAGTAACTTCTCACTTTCACATCTAGCATTCTTTCCTATATTCTCATCCTCTTTGACCTTTTTGCAGGATGTGAGGATATTGCTCACCCTCTCCTTGCTGATATCTCTTCTGTCGACATACGGGACATTTCAGGCTTAGTTGTTCAGCCTCTCTGACCGCCTCATCTCTTCTTTGCTGAATCATCCTCTGCTTTTGCTGTGTAAATATATTTATTAACACGTCTTCTGCCTATGCAGTCTCTCCCACTTTTTGTGCATTCCTCATTCCTTCTTGCTGCATTTCAACTCTAGAAGCTAGGACAAAACCGTGGAGTACATCCTGGGGGATTCCTGAACTGAGCTGATTCCAGAGGGAACATGCCTGGGATGGCTAGAGAAGGGAGAATGGCATGGAGACCCAATATTGTAGTTAGGAGAATGGCGGCAAATTCCAAGTCTGAAAGGTAAGGATAAAATATGGGTGAGGAAGCAGTAAGATTGGTAGTTTGGATGATGGGAAATAGGGTAGACAAATGGGTCAAGAATGTGAATGTGTATCTTCTTCAGATCACTGTGTTCATGAGGGACTGATGAATGTTACTAGGGAGCATGATTTCTTTAAGGAATTGCGCTAGGGCTTTAGCTTCAACAATCATTTCTCTGGGGATAAACTTCAAATCTATATCTGAAGCGCCATTAGATTCTCTTAGGAGCCAGAGCTCTCTTTCCATCTTTCTCTTAAATGGTTTCACCTGAATATCCAACTAGTAACCTAGTTTCACATATCCCCAATTTAGTTTGTTATCTTCCTCCTCAAACAGACCTCTTTTTGGGGTTCCTAATATATCAACTGTTCTGTGTCGTTCTGGATCAAAAATTCAAAGCCATTTTGATTTTCCTTTTAACTAATCCACATCCAGCAATTTGAAATGTACTGTCAGTATTATCTCCATTATGTGTTGTAAACAGTCCCACCTTTACTTTACTTTTGCTTCAACTGTTGATTTTTGGGTTGACAACTACCCTATACTCCAGAGATACCTGCCCATTTAGTATCCCCTAATCCCATTGTATTCATTGCTGCCAGTGTAATGTTTCCAAAACTGAACTGTGAATTTAAGTCACTCTTAATTTATCACAACATTCCTAGCCAGGAATAATTGCTTCCCCCCTCAGTGTTTTTGTAGTACTTAGGTGCTTTCTATGATTGTGTGTGTATGTGCAATTTTATAAATCTATATACACACACAATTATATGTATATACAATATATATACTATACATATATATATATATACACATAATATTATGTATTACATATTTCTGTACATGAATTATCAATCCCTATAGATTGTAAGCTCGTTGCGGGGCAGGTATTGTGTCTTCTTTACCTTGTATCCCCATATATTCTGTGTACTGACATGCAGCAAATATTTATTGAATGGAATTAAGCAGCTAGCTGGGCTGGAAGGAATCTGAATCCAGTTAATAGTAGGTGATTTGTAGTAGTCATTTTAATTTAACATTAATTTCATTTTTTGTGCATTTGTTTTATTCTGAAAAGCTTTTTTATTAAGCTGTGCTGATGGCATAAATGGAACAGTTAACTGGAAGACCAAACAGGCCAGCAATTTTATTATCAGCAGAAAAATGACTCCTGGGAAGAAAGATGGTGAGTTTAGGTTGTAAATCTAAATCCCTTTTGGGGAGTCAATTAAATGTCTGCTTCCAATATTACTTTTGCTTTTTCACTCATGTGTGAATTTTTTTGGTAAGTCAGTCTGAAAAAAATCAAGTTTTGTTTTTCTAATCTCCTAAAAACTTCTGATCCTCCGTGTTCTTAATCCATTATTTTTCAAGTTTTTTTTTCCTTTGCTATAGTTTTGCAATTTTTTTTTAACTAAAAATATTCTTGTTTTTAACCTGTTGCTACCCCTTACTTGGTCATTGGCTTGCCACTTACAAAAACTCTCGCGGTGTGGTTATTGTAACAATTTATAATGTTGAAAAGAAGTACACTTAACCTAAGATATTTAAAATTAAACACCGTTTATATAACCTTACAAAAATGGTCATAAATATTTGGCTAATTGTAGGTGACTTTTTGAATTATTATTATTTTTTGCCAAACCAAATTGATATGTTTTGCTTTTGCTATTAAATAATTAGATGACACTTGTTTTCTGTTGGAAAGATGATCTGCCCCTTGAATGATTGCTTGTTCATGCAAAATTTTCCTTCCTTATCTATAAATGTGTTCGTTAGCAATATGGCAGGACCTTTGAAATAATGCATTTCATCAGGGAGATTTCATTAGGGAGAAAAAAAAGGGGCAGGACTTACTTACTCACGAAAAAATTAGCTGTTTTCAAAATATCAATTATCATCATGACCCTTCACCTAATACTTCTTCATTATTTGTCTTGACAGTCCCTCTTACTTCTGCCCCAACAACCATCGCATGAACACACACACACACACACACAATTTGGGGCATAGATGGTCATGAGCAGTAGCAGAATTGTAGCTTGGTTTCCATAACTCTGCGGAAACTGAAGTGTCTATAAAATAACAATTTAGAAATATTTTTAAAAGAACAGTAATTTTATGAAATAAAATGGCCTAATGCCAGATAAAGCCTCCTGAATACCTTGTAGGAGTAATTCCTGGCTTACCACATATTCTTCATATATCCCTGAAGTTGGGGGTCATTAACTTCTTCTAACTACACCAAATTATCCCTATGTCCAAATCTATTTTACAGTAGGACAGAGGCTCCCAATATCTTTTTTTCCCAAAGGCCCTTTTCAGGGCCAAACAACTACTCTCCCAACATGCTTTGTACTCTGCTGTCTTTTGAAGCAAACCCACAAACACCTATGCGTTTTCTGAAATTTCATTGCTAATATCTGTAAGAAAATAATGGAGTTTCATAACACTAAGTTCCCCTGAAAAGATCACAAACATTTGTTTTGAAAAGCACTAGATACACTATTCTAAGACCTAAGCCCATTGTCCAGTAGTCCTTTCCCCACACTTAGATATTCTCAAGGGATTCTCCCTGCTTCCTTGAAGGAAATCCCTCTGACTACCCTTACCTGGCTGGTTCCTTTATCAGGCTGCCAGCCTTCAGCTTTTTTGGCAAACCCATTCTTCCTGTTCTCTGATCTCTCCAGCTGTGGGCCCTGGACGGTCATTTGCAGTGGACTTCTGTCCCATCATATCCCAGGGTCTTGGGACCTGCTTTGATTCCAGGTCCCCACATGAGATCACCAAAGACTCTTCCTCTCCACTTCACACTATTTTGCACTAAAATACAGTCATCCTTTCCCCTTTCTTCAGCTTCTTCTCTTTGACTTTTATCCTTCGAACTTCTATCCTCTTTGACCATGTCCCTCCATTTCCTGTTGCTTTGCCAAAAAAGTACTCTCTAACCAGCTGGAAACCCTGCTGAGTCACCTACTCTGGTGCTGTACTTAATGAAAGATGCTATTTGAAGACCTTTACATATAGCATTTTCAAGAATCTCCAAGAGATGCTTGTCTCTCCCTATTTCAAACTCATGCTCAACATACCTCAAACTGATTTTTCTCCTTAGAACCTGAGCAGTAAGTGCAGTTCTCACAATAGAAATGACCAATAGTCTTGAATTGACTGAGGTAACCAGCTCAGGTTACCACATTCTCCTATTCACTCAGTTTCTCTTGAACTCATCCTTTACCTTCTTCTCCCTTCCTGGTCTCCTTGTACAGTTTAAATCCTACCATTTATAGTTCTGTATTATCAAAATGTCTTACACAGAGACTAATACGTTTCATCAGTTGTATGAGGAGAATCGTTTCAAGTAGCTTTTCTAGCAAGGCCATTTTAAATGCTATCTCAGATATCAAATGTTCTTTTGGGATGTTCTTGACCATGAATCCCAGTCATCTCTTTGTGACAATTTCAAACAAGAGCACAAAAGATTATAAGAGCATTTAAAGAGCATTTATGTTGTGAAATAAGTTTAGCAATTGAATTTTTTTGTGTGACTTTCTTTTTTAAATAATGTTCTAGTTCTTACTTTAGCAGTGGGATGCTCTTGACCATGAATCCCAGTCATCTCTTTGTGCCAATTTCGTGAGAGAGCACAAAAGATTGTAAGATCATTAATGTTGTGAAGTAAGTTTAGCAATTGTATTTTTTTGTGACTTGCTTTTGAATAATATTCCAACTCTTAACTTTTACAATAGGATGGTACCTCTTCTGTAAATAAGATTTAGAAGAATTTGGAATGTCTCAGACCAACACATTTGATGTCATTCTACTTGGAGACACATGAAGTCATTACGAAAATCATAAAATCATTGGATTCTTTTCTCTTTTTCCTGGGGTGTGGGTAGAGAAACTTAAAATTTACCCTTGGAATAATTTGAATATAAACAAAATAAGGCTTCACTTTACTCACTTATATACTTAAATAAAAATCTGCAAAATTCTCCTTACTTACTTAGGACAACTTACTTCCTAAAATGGTTTAGCCTTAGTTTTACAAATGTGGGCAAGTTGGGGTTCCTATGGCCAGGATCCTCACTGAACTTAAACCACCTGATGATGTAACTGGCCTGCTGCTAGGCTACCGCTTCCACACCTTTAGCCAATAAGCTATTATTGCACTATATAGAGAGCTTGGCCCAGTGCTCCAGGTGGAGGCAGAGATGCTAGTGCTTGACCTAATGCTGGGAGAGCAAGCTGGGTAATAAACCCTTTCACCCCAAAGAACGTTTTGCTGTCAGTTTCTTTGGTCACATTGAATCCATAGTGAACTTGCCTGGGGCTGAAACCCATTGGCAAGACGACAGATAAACTTGGGTTTTTTTTCCTTAAAAAACAGAGTCAAAATGATCATGTCCTCATTTCCTAATTATTCTCAATGTAAATGTTAAACACGAATTTACAGGAGAGCAAATGCATGCCAATTCTGATTGGTAGTATTTATCAGGAATCCTGGGTTTAGAATGCTGAGGTCATATCCAAGTAGGAATTAATGCTATGATCTGTCTAAATAGTGAAAGATATTTGTCAGGATGATGGTGACATCTAAAGTCCTTTTCAATTGCAGTGGTCTATAGGTCTGAGTATATTGATCACTAATAAATAATGGTTCACAACCACTTTTTAACTGACATCTAAAAAAAAAGCCCAACAAAACAAACACATGTGATCATTGTATGGAAAATTGAGATTCTTAACTCCAATTTATAAAAGAATTCATCAAGTGGTATCTATTGGGGGAAAAAAAAGATCTCACAAAGAAACCCTTCTCCATTTTGTAGAAAAAGACACAAGTAGTGGTTTCTCTTCTACCTCATGCAAAGAAAAGTGCCCACATCACTTAGAGGAATGTAAGTTAATGCCTTCCATGTGATGAACTTACAGCCTAGGCACGAACTCTCTGAGACTGAAGGAAAGGCATGAGCTGACCATGCTAAATGAATGGCCTCTAGTGCTTTGATGTTGCATAAAGTCAAAGGTGAAGGGGCAGACTGCTGAGAAAAGCTTTTGATTCCAAGCCAAGATTTATAAAGCTGGATTGATGAAACATTAGGTAAATCTTAGGAAAAACAAAACAAAACAGGTTGGGTACCTGGTTAGAAACTGGTGGCTTTCAAAATACTGTTCTACAACAATTATCTGGATTAGTAATTAAAGTTCAATTTTACTATAGAAATAATATATTAAAAAATAAATTAGGAAGGAAACCATAAATATATTAGGCTCTGAAAACCCTGAAATGAGTTCTCTTGATGCTGATAGCAAGTGGGATTCATCTCCTATTAATTGTCCTGATTAATTGGTAGCAGCTTCTTGGAGAGCCATGTATTCAATAAAGACCTGTTAGCTGTGAAACTGTAAAATATAAGTTTTATTTTACCTGTCAATACTTAACGATTTTTAGTTATCATCAGGGATAATAATTTAGTGAAATAGGTTTAGCAATTGTATATTTTGTGTAACTTTCTTCTTAAATAATATGCCAGTTCTTATCTTTAACGGGATGGTGTCTCTTCTGTAAATAGCATTTTGAGGAATTAAAATATCTGGGTGCTTAGGCCAAAGTTTATTTTAAAAGCTATACAAGAGAAGTGGCTACTCAGTATTATCTTTACTTCCTAAACATATTTTAAAATCTTCATCGTTCTTATCCTCAGATATTTTTTCCCAGATGATACTGCTATTACAGCAATACTAAGAAGAGTTGGGAAGTATGTCCTATCTTGTTTAAGTAATTTGCACTCAGTTAAATCACCTTGGTCATGCTTCCCAATGGATAGCTTAGAATTCTCTTATCATTAGAGGCAAATTTACCAAATTGAAATGCTTTAGAAATAGACTTTAATATCTTGTTAATAAATTACTTATTAATTATAGTGTGTTATAATAGTCTTAGGTTGATTTAGCTGTTGTTAGAGGTAGTAGATCTTGTAATCAATAGATCTCTTTGTTTAAATTATGCAGTGTATCTCCCATATGTCAAATATGTAAGAAATTATTTTATACAACACAGTAAATCCATTCATTTCGATTTGACAGTTTTTGTTTATATAATATATGGGTTGAATTAAGACTTTCCATAGTACACTTACTTATTTTTTAATTCATTTAATACATGGAATTTATGCTGCCATCTCCTCAAGTAATGGCTATATCCCAATTATAGGAAGATCATCTATTCAGAAGTATACTGCATCAACTAAGAACCAGGAAATATGCCACAAAAGGGTCTTTGGGTAACCAAAGTAGATGCTACAAATGCAGGTTCCTGTGTTTTACCTCTAGCTGAGCCCTGAGAGCAAGGACAATACATATTTGTACTCCCTTTAACATGCAATCCCACCTCATTTGGTAGTCTAGTTTCTAAACCTGCAGCGGATTAATAACAGCAAATTAGAAGGGACAGAGAAGCTGCTATGGGAAACATACTGTTAGCGATGAGAAATGACAGCTGACTACTTCTCTACAGAGAAGAAAACAGAAAATCTATAAAACACACAACATTAAAAAGCATTAACAGACTGGGACCAGCTAGTGTTAGTGTGATCAGTAAATGACAAAGCAACCAAACAGAAGGGCATCACTGTATAATAGAGTAAAATGCAATAATCGATGTGCTAGATGATGATCTTATACTATTGTGAAAAAGGATCGACTGCTGGCTACTTTATAGAAAACTCAGCTCTCTGAAATGATTCCTTCCTTGGGGTTCCTGGTAAACTGAGATTTTACTATATTCTCCTAAACCTTAAAAATTAGAAAATGATCATGTAAGTAATTAATTTGCTAATAAAGCATCTACGAGAGATACATGTAAGAGGTACATAACAAAGGTCATCTGGATGTGACAATACTTTACGACTTCCTTAAAGATTTCAGAGGAAAGATGTCTTTAAGACTTAAATCTAGCGAGGCCTTGAAGAGTCTCACACTCAGCTAGGTTATCTTTATAGCCATGCACTTGTCCTTGGTGATGCAGAGAAAGACTTGTAAATGTTCTCTGAACTTTTCCATAGAGAAGAGACTTCATATGTGCCTGTGCATATGTATATATCATTAAGAATAATCATTGTAATAATTGTGAAGTTATATGCTGTAGATTCATTAGCAATGCACCACCATAATCCTTTCAAAATTTAATGTTTACTAAATACATCCAAATTTGCTTTTGTTTTTAAGTAATTGCAAATAAGCACACAAATGCACACCCTGGTATTTTCATCATGATGCTGCCTCCGTAGGGAGAAAATTTCAAATGGACTGTTAATAAAGAAGACAGAATGTTACTAGCTAGCATGAGGTCCTACTTTATTGCTACCACCATCACTGTCTGTTACTTGGTTCTTGGCTCTCTGCTGTCACATAATACACATTGTCAGGATGGTCTGTAGTTACTATATCTGTTGACTAAAATATACAGAGAACAAAATATACAGAGAACAATTTTTTGAAAAGATTTTGGAGCCTGATAATAGGGGCATTGAAGTTACATTTAGATAGGGTGAAATAATTACTGTGGCCACCTGCCTGTATACCCTTTTGCCTTTCTTAAATCAGGTATGTATTTTTTTCCTAAAGCAAAACAAAAACTCTGTTACTTGTAACTACCTGTCTTCAGTTTTCTAATCTTTGCAAATCTAGCTATACTTGCTGGTTTGAAGATGATGTCTTTGACCCCACCCCCACCCCAATCAGATTTGCAGGGATTTAGCCACCTGGGTTCTAATTTCATTTGTATCCAGTGGCATGTGTTTCCTGTGGTAATGGATTTGCAGCCCTAGAGGACTGCAAAGTTATTCGATACACAGAGAGGCCAGTCCCTGTGACCTCCGCAAGATCAGCATGGTACTACAAACATGTATATTTCAGAGATTATTAGATTTGAGGACAGTGTTTAAATTTTATTTTTATGATGTGCTTTTAAGGAAAACAATATGCTTCAAGTTCACTCTTAGGGAGCACTACCTAGACTTATGGTGAAATGCAACATGTGTCAATTTAGTAACAACCTTTGTTCGTGATGTGCAGACCCTATCAGCATTGTTTACACAGCTCAAGTTTGGAACAAGAGGCTATAACTTCCAGTTCTCTGTGTAACTTGTTGTTTTCAAAAGGAAGCTAGGTGTAAATACTGCCCAAATAGTCTGTGTCCCAGGGCTCTTAACGAATGGAAAGGTAAAGGTGAAATAGTTCTCTAAAATGTTGTGTCTATGCCCATAATTTAAACTGATGCTGCAGAAAGGAAGTATTATTTCACAAACAAAACATACTGGCTTAGTCCTTTTCCATTTCTAGGTGATGAACATGTCATACATCTGTATCATGCTTTTCTCAAAGAGAATGGCCTGCTATACTTAAAGTGAAGCAGGCTTGTTCTGTGCAGTTGCCACGGTAACTGACCAGCAAGTACGCAGTTGAGCAGATTGTAGAAAGGCAATTGAGTACGCACAAATAAAGAGATGGGCATGCCATCTCCAAACCCCGGAGGGCCATGGTTTATTGTGGTTTGGCTCTGTAGATCACAGAAATGTTGTTTTATGAAAGCAGAAACTGAGATGTTCTGGATTAGTCCTTGAGGTGATAGGCAGTGGCAGGTCTCCTTGTATGGTTCCACTTAAGGCATAGCCAAGGGCTATGTAGAAAATAGAATCATTTCAATATTATTTAATAGGAACAACATTTCTTTTTGCTTGATAAGCCAGCTTTTACCACCTACTGGCAGTAAAAACTAAGATCGGTTAGTAGTTTGTAGTGTAAATAGAGGATGTTGTAACCCATAAACTGCTATACCCATGTGAGAGTTAATTTAAGTTACAAAACTGAAATTTAAATTGAGTATTGTATACATTTAGCCCACAAACATGAGGTCTGGGTTTCCCTTTACAGGGCTTTATATTCAAATGTATTCATCCATTCAATAGGCTTTGATAAAATTCCTCAGCTGTGCCACATGCCTTCCAGGTGCCAAGAAAATGACAAAGGTAAATGAAATGCAGTGCTGGACATCAAGGTGTTTTTAATCTTTAGAAGGAATAAATTAGATAAGCACTGAAGAAATTCCTTCACATTATTCAAAATATTCCTATGCTTTGGTTACAGGAGCATGACCTAGAATTTAAATACCTTTACATGTGAAGTAGGATAAATTCTAAGCAGGAATTCATAATTATCCATATGTTGACCCTTCTTCCCAGTTTTTTGCCTCTTACCTAATATACCCCAGGACCTAGAATCACTGACTTAATTCCCTTCCTTGAAAGGACCTGTAGTATCCTATGATTGTGTCTTGCACATTTTGACCACTAATATTCCTGAATTCCCCATTTCTGAGTTTAATCTTGGTAGTACTTTAAGAGCCATATGGAATTGCACTTCCTATATAAATCTTTGCAGATCTTTTCAGCCTTCATTGTTCATCACCATGTGTCCAGGTATTGGCCAGAGCACTTTATACCTCTGGGACCATACCTATTTCAGTAGGCATTGGTCTCTCGAACCAAATGGTGAGCTCGTGAAAGGCAGGGACTTAGTCTCCTTCATCTCCATATTCTTCACAGCACCTGGCAGTCAGGGCACGTTGTGGAATCCAACTGGTAAAAAATCTCAAATTCTCATCCTTACAATTTTCTGTGATTCATTCATTCTCATTTTTTGGAATGGGATCATTTCCACAGGTGAGTAAATTGTTCTTGGGTAGAAGTTGGGTACTCTAAATGTACAATACAAAACAAATCAGGAAAAATTGAGTCTTTCTACATACCTATTTTAAACCTAACTTGCAGCTTCCTTCCCTCTCCTATAAAACCTTTGAAATTGTCTTTAGTCATAAAGCTATGGATACATGAAGCTACAAGCCAAATATTTTAGTTTAATTCCACATTTTTGGTAACCATCCACAAAGCCGCAGGGACAAGTTTTCACGGGTAAAGAAACATTTTGTCGGAGTTCCTATTTTTATATTGAAAAATTTACTGTCGGTGATCTTGCTATCCAGGGCTTTTAGTCAGTTATGAGCCTAGAGAGAGCAGCCTTGGGGTTCTTAAGGTTAATTACTACATTTACAAATCCATCAGCGCTAAGAGAAAGAACAGGCCTGATAGGGTTTATCTGTTTAATAATTGCAGCCTCTAGCCAATCAGGAAGATAGAAAACCAAAAGAGACTGTAGAGGTGACAAGGGTAATGGAGGTAATGTGTTGGTGGAGATGATAACAAGGAAAAACAATAGGTGGAAACTAATCAAACCAATTTGGCCATTTTAATGTACTCATATCATATATCTTGTGTAACCAGTAAATCATGAAATCTGTTGATTTCACCTAAAGAAATTATTTGCACTGAATTTTATTATGTAATTCTTACTGCTCATTTAGCAGGGAGCGTAAGAGAATAGATTATATTCTGTGAATTATTAAATGTCAAGATCAGGTAAAATGGAATAAATTGTGTCTAGGAAAAACAAGAGGAATAATACTCATAGAAAAAGTATTCAGTGCAGTTTTGGAAGTATATACAAAAGTCACCTTACATATATCAATGGTATTATATAGTCTGATGTGCTTTTTCTAGCAAACAGTTAACACAGTATAGACTCTTACCATTTAAAAATCACTCATTATATTTTACTTTGAAAAAAGGAAAAAGAAAAAAACTGTAGTTGATCAGTTTCTCATGATGTATTTTGTTGGTGATATTTTCAATAAAATGAAATTGTTAACCAGATATTATGGATGTCTTCATTACTTAATTAAAAATATTAAATGTGCCAGATTTTGTGTATATAGTATTTGAAGTCTCTAAACACACCAAACTGAAATAGTTGTTCCATGTTTTGTTCTAAAATCCCTTCCCTTTAAAACAAATTTCCTAACAATATCTTGCATGTTGCTTCACTCCCAGAAAATTCTACATAGTGAAACCCTTCTTTACAGTGTAAGTGAATCATCAAAAGCGTATCTCATTATTCATCCTTCTCTTATGTTTCCTCTGTTTTCAGTGTACACTGTTTTCTCAAAGGTGCGTTCTGATTGGGATGTGTACCCATCTGCGGGTGTCCTCTTTGTTCATGTTTTGGAAAGAGAGTGTTTTAAGGGGGAATTTCCACCTTACCCCAAACCTGGTATGTTCTTGGTGAGAAAAAAAGTGGTTAATTTACTTAATGTTTCTTTTTGTTCAATGTGCATAATCTATATGAAATATCAAATATTATTAACATATGAAATGGTCTGGATATATGATAAATTGGTTGTTGGATATTTCCCATTTTAAGATTAAAAATTTAATTATAGAAGGAGAGAATTCATTTTCAAATTCTAGAGAAAGTGTATTTCTGGTTTCTCAGTCCTGAGTTTTGTGCTTCTGACAAATGATCTAACTATATTCACATAAAAATAATTATAGCTGTACAGTTATGATTTTCCATATTAAGACTTAGATTCTTACATAGTATATTGATTTTTGGAAAATGTGCATTTGTTGTAGAAGAAAATAAAATATGATTTTAAGAGTTCCCAAAAAAGCTTTTATATGAGATAATTTTATATAATTTCATAATAATAAAATGGAGATTACTTTTTCTTTCAAAGTAATACAAAGTCTTATTTAATTCACTATTGGTTTAAATTATGTTATGTTGGATTGTCACAAGTGCCGTCAAATTAATGAAGATACAGAAAGAATAGCAAGAGAAAATATATTGTTATTACAACTCTTATTTTAGTAACAAATAAAAATGAATCATCTGAAAAGTGTAAGATTAGATTTAATATAAATATTATTTTTGTAGATTATATGATGAATAACATACCTGAAAACACTCATAAAATATAGTTAACCATGTTCTCACCAGCATTCAAGAAAAGGTAGTCTTTTCATCAATTACTATATTATTATTTTTTATTGAAGTATCATTGATATACAATCTTTTGTTGGTTTCAAGTATATAACACATTGGCTCAACAGTTATCCATGTTATTAAATCCTTACCCCCTCTAGTGCGGTTACTACACATAGAAAGATGTTAATGGAATCATTGACTATATTCTCCATGCTGTACTACTGTCCCCATGACCAGCGTATATTGTGATTGTGAATTAGTGTGTCCGTCTATCCCCCTCACCCTTCCTCCTTGCCTGCCTCAACCTCTGTCCTTTAAAAAATGTTTTCTTATAGGGCGTTTTGTGTTTGCAAAACTATATAAGTACACCTTTTGACAGCAGCTCTAACATTTGAGAAGAAAACATGTAGTTAAAAGCATAGCTTCCTGAGTTAGGCAAGATTAAATTCTAGTCTTACTACTTAATATGACTGGGAAGAAGTTGCTTAACATGAAATTACACATTCCGTCAATAAAATTAGGGCTAATAATAGTACTACTTGTATAGGTATGTTTGAAATCAGATGAAATAGTGCCTGTAGAGATCACACAACAGGCCCAGACACATATTAATAAATGTTGCTATTATTATTGTTTGTTACGAATAAATGTCATCAATACAGTTCTTTTGGATTTGGAACATCTTTTTCATCTTATCCTCTCATGTTTTAAAATTACATTAGTTTTGGTTTGATGATACTTTTATGATTTTGAGATATCCCTTAAGATTAGTTTGATGGTATCCAGCATTTAATGAAAGAAAGGCTTCTTAAGACAATAATACATCAACATGATTAGGGTTTTTTTTCTAAAAGATAGTTTTCTCATTGTTAGAACTTTCCATTCCTATGTGATCCCAGAAGAGAAGAAAAGAAAGTTTAACAGTTATCCATGTTATTAAATCCTTACCCCCTCTAGTGCGGTTACTACACATAGAAAGATGTTAATGGAATCATTGACTATATTCTCCATGCTGTACTACTGTCCCCATGACCAGCGTATATTGTGATTGTGAATTAGTGTGTCCGTCTATCCCCCTCACCCTTCCTCCTTGCCTGCCTCAACCTCTGTCCTTTAAAAAATGTTTTCTTATAGGGCGTTTTGTGTTTGCAAAACTATATAAGTACACCTTTTGACAGCAGCTCTAACATTTGAGAAGAAAACATGTAGTTAAAAGCATAGCTTCCTGAGTTAGGCAAGATTAAATTCTAGTCTTACCACTTAATATGACTGGGAAGAAGTTGCTTAACATGAAATTACACATTCCGTCAATAAAATTAGGGCTAATAATAGTACTACTTGTATAGGTATGTTTGAAATCAGATGAAATAGTGCCTGTAGAGATCACACAACAGGCCCAGACACATATTAATAAATGTTGCTATTATTATTGTTTGTTACGAATAAATGTCATCAATACAGTTCTTTTGGATTTGGAACATCTTTTTCATCTTATCCTCTCATGTTTTAAAATTACATTAGTTTTGGTTTGATGATACTTTTATGATTTTGAGATATCCCTTAAGATTAGTTTGATGGTATCCAGCATTTAATGAAAGAAAGGCTTCTTAAGACAATAATACATCAACATGATTAGGGTTTTTTTTCTAAAAGATAGTTTTCTCATTGTTAGAACTTTCCATTCCTATGTGATCCCAGAAGAGAAGAAAAGAAAGTTTCCAAGAACATTGTATGACTCTGCTTTCTTTGTTGCATCAGATTTCTGGACAAACTAAACCACTAAAAGGGTTTTTTCTACATGAGGCTTTACTCTAAATTCTGAGATGAATTTTTTTTTTTTTGGTGTGTATTTCTATAAGTGTAAGAAAAAAGTTGTAGACAAATATTTTGATTGAAACTGCCAAAGTAACATGTATGAAAATAACTGTCTTAATTCTGTGTTTCTTATCTAGGTGAGATCAGTAATGATCCCATAACATTTAATACAAATTTAATGGGTTATCCAGACCGACCTGGATGGCTTCGATATATCCAAAGGACACCATATAGTGATGGAGTCCTATATGGGTCTCCAACAGCTGAAAATGTGGGGAAACCAACAATTATTGAGGTAATTTACTTAGAGCAAATTATATTTTCTTTTGTAATCTGAGTTTTAAATGTTGAAATTAAATTACATGGCAGTGGTTTTCAGCATTTTATGCATGGAAACACACTAGAAAATATTTGGAAATGTATCATTCCATTCTGTTCATCTACAGAGTTTTTTTTCCAGCTTTTACATATATATAAAAGCTTATGTGTATATATATATATATATATGGAAGCTAAATTAATGAAAAACAGTTAAGACATTTAAAAGAAATAGATTACTATAATATGAATTCTACTTAAGAAAATAATACAAACTCAAAACACTTATTTGCTCCATATTTTAATTTCAAATTTCATATTCATTGAAATACAGTCATTAAGCAGACATTTTACGAACCCTGCAATGTGCTAACACTACAATAGATGATAGTGATAGAAAGGTGAGTAACAGGTGAGTCCTGCCATGTCTTACAGTCCAGGGCATGAAGCACTAGCATGGAAATCTGTATTTAGCCAAACTGATAGAACATTAAAAATAAGAGGGTGCTGTTTCATGCAGAGTTGTAAGAGGGTAAACAGGAATTCAGAAGGAAGGTTGTCATAGGTAGAAGAAACAGCCCATCAAAATGTTGGCACTATAAACAAAGCCACATGGTCTCTTAGAACTACAGGTGTGACTAGAGGGCTAGCTGCACCCCAAAGGGCAAATGATGGGAATAGAGGTGTTAGTGTTGGTAGGGGCAGATTTTGTTTCTTTATTAGGGAACAGATCTTTGAGGGCTCTGTAAGCCATGCTGATATGTTTGGCCTTTATTGCAGAAGTGATGGTGATGTTAAAATTCAACAGATTTTTATCAGTACCTACCATTAAACTGAGAAGATACTAGAAATTAAAATAATAACAAAAACAATGTCATTGAACCTTTAATGAGAATTAATGCATTTAAAAAATATATGGATATAAAAAAACTGGAAGTGCTTCCCTGTTTACAAAATCCAGCAAATTCAGAATTATAATGGCAGTAAATGTTAGGAATGTCCTACTATCGTGTTAAGCCTTGATGCCTCCAGGATCTTAGATTCTAATTTAACTGTTCAATTGCGTAAGAATTACTGGCAGTGACCAGGGCAGCAGTGCAGGAACTGCTGCTGGACTTGCCAGGAGATGTAGGTCCTCAGTGGCATGTTTTCTACCTACTACACACTCTGAGGGGATTACATGCTTTGAGCCTTTCTCAAAGTTTTAATCAGACGTGGACTGTGAATATGAGTTTGCATGTTGGCCAAGAGAAGAAAGCATTTCTTTATTTGAATATGACTTTTCAATGATTTCTCTATATATTTGCTTCCTTAAGGCAATGGAGATATAAGATAGAAATACATGTAGATATAAGAAAGTTACTTTGAGCTATTGTCAAACTAATTTTTAAAAATATTTAGCAAAATTGTAAAAGAAATATATAAATGTAATTCACCACATTACTAGATTAAAGGCAAAAACAGCATAATCACTTTGATAGATGCAGAAAAAGCACTTAATAATGAATTCAGTGTCTGTTCTTGATTAAAAAAGACCTCTTAGCAAACTAGGGATAGAAGTGAACTTCCTTAACCTGATAAGTTATTTACCAAAAATAATAGCAAACATCATTTACTAATGGGAAAACCCTGAGGAATTCCATTTAAATTCAGGAACAAAATAATGACCCTTTCCACCACATCTGTTATAGAGTGTTTTAGAAGTCCTAGCCAGTGCAAAAGAGAAAGAAAAAGAAATTAAATCTGTATTTGTAAGGAAGAAATAAAATAGACTATGATATAAAGAGTCTGTAGACTATTAAAGTCTTAAGAAAGCCTAGCAGTAAGCTGTAGGATCAATATAAAAAATTAGGTTACATTTCTGTACATGAATAACAAGTACTGAGAAAATATGTTTTAAAATGAGAATTTTAAACAGTAACAAAAATAGTAAGGTACTAGAATAAATATAACAGAAGTTATACAAGATCTGTATGGGAAAAGTTACAAAAACTTATTGCTTTAAAGAATACCTATATAAATTAAAAGATAGTCCATTCAGGGCAATTCCAATAAAAACTGCAATAGACTTTTTTCTTGGAACTTAGCAACTAATTGTAAAATTTTTGAAGAAGATAATGGCCAAAGATGGTGAAGACATTCTTAAAGAAGAAAAAAAGGAAAGTTTTCTCTCCCTTCCAGATATCAAGATTTATTATAAATCCATAGTAATTATCACAAGGTTGCACTGGTAATGGGGATAGGCAAATGAACCAATGAAAAGAAGAGAAAGCCCAGAAACAGATTCATCTACAAAGGAGCAATATCACGTGTCTAAAGAGAACGTGCCACAGATCATTGAAGAAAAGGATGTCTGTTTATTGAATGGTGCTCAGACAATTGGTGAGCCATATGGCAAATATTAAATTAGATTCTTCACAGGAAGTACAAAACTCATCTAGATAGATTCAGGATTTAAATATGAAAAGCAAAATTTTAAACTATTACCTGAAAATGTGGAAGAATATCTTTCTGAATTTGAGGTAGAGAAGAATTTCTTAATGCCTAAACATTTTTAAGAGAAAAGGGTGATAAATTTTACTATATCAAACTTGTGGACTTCTATTTATCAAAAGAAACCATTAAAAAAAAAGTCCACAAACTGGAAGAAGATATTTTAAATATGTATAACTGACTAATGATGAGCATCTAAAACATAAAAAAGGATTCCTACAATTCAATAAGAAAAAGATGTGAACAGACATTTCACTAAAGAAAATACGTAAATATCAATTAAGTAAAGAAGCTTACTCTTATCAGTAATGAGGAATATTCAAATTAAGGTCACATGAGAATTTTGCCCTCAGGAAAATTCATTGTGAGTAGATATTGGAATTGTCATAACCACTTTGGTAAACAGTACAGAATATTTCACATAACTGAGAATCACTATACTCTAAGATCCAGCAGTTCCATTCTAGGTATATACCCAAAAGAAACACTTGCAGATGTCTACCTGAGGAGGTGTCAGTCATGCTCACTGAGCAATGTTGGCATAGCCAAACAAAACTCAGAGCAGTGGAGACCCAAAAGTCCACCAGCACTCAGAGAGAAAAGTCCTTCAGCAAAACAATGGATAAATTAATTGTGGAACAGTCCCACAGTATGTATTTACAGCAGCTGTGTACTTAGGCTTGCTCAGCAACATGGATTGAATGTTTCAAACATAATTTTGAATTAAAAAACAAGTCTCAGAAGACTGCATACAGCTTATGTTTTTGTAGAGCTCAAAACAAGTAAACAATATATTTTAAGCATACATACATTTATAATAAAACTATATTTAAAATAAATGGGATGATAGACACAAAATTCAAAATGACTACTACTTTTGGTTGGAGAGAGGCAAGGGGCTAAGATAGAAAAGAAACACCTGTATTGAGCCAGAATTCACAGGTGTTTATTATGCTCTTATACCTTACAACTAACATGTTATAAATAAGTATCAAACTATACATTAAAAAAGGTGATGATGAAAATTTAGCATATCTTTCATTTAACATAAGCAGTGATTTGTTTATAAATAACTCATTTCTACGTCCAAATGTAACAACACATTTACAGTATTTTTAAATATTCTAATAGAGTCAAAAGTAATGCATATCAAAATAATATTTAATCATATAAATCCACTGATTTATTCAGTAGATATTTATTAAGAATCTAAAGTAGATTAGCCACTGTTCTAGAAAAAGGAGATCAAAAAAGCACACACACACATACACCCCTTTGCTATGAAAGGCTTCATATCATCATGATAAGTAAAATTTGATTGAGGATATTACAGTATTTAATATCTCATTAAAAGTGATAGAAGGAACACATTCTGTTACAGCTATTAAAATTAAACATTAAATATAAATTCAGATAATAAAATTCTTCCTTCTGATTTATGAAAGGTTCTTCACTCTCTTCAGTAGCCTGTGATTTTAAAAAACTTATTAGAATTTATGAAATTTACAATAATGAAATTTGTGATAACTATGAGAAGGCTAGTTATAAAAATACTGGCACTAATTTGAAAATCCCTAACCTTCTTTTCTGAGCTTTAGCTTTGAGATACTGTAACAAATAGTAAAAGATTAATACTGTTTTTTCCAGTGGTAATATGATTACATTTTTTGCAAGATAAACTTTTAAAATCATCAAGATTCCCAAGTGAAATCTTCTGTGCATTTTTTTCCACTTGCCTCTTTATAAACAGTAGTTCCTAGTTTATTTTAATGACTAGTCTTAATTTTAGTGTTCAGTGTGAACCGAGTTGATCATGTGTTCCAACAGGTAGCAGCAACGAAGTCATTAAATCCGATGAAATGTGACAAATTGTAGAGAAAGAAGTTCTTTTAATTTTGTGGAATATTTACTTTTCATAATATGCACTTTAAATATTGTTAAAGATCTAGAGTTATTTATTCCATAGTTCTGATTTTTACTGTTTTCTCAGTATTTTTAATGAGTGTAATTTCTTTCTTTTGAAGCCCACAGGTGCTGCTCTAACAATCTTGGATATTTGTTTTTAAATGTGCAGGATATTTCTTTCTAGTTTGAGTCAGTTTTGTCCGACTCTTCTGTCTCAGTGTCAACTCCAGCTGCAATCCCTGCCAGAAGGCTAGTGCTGGGACTTTTATACAATCATTTGGGTTTTTTTTGAGGTACTGCAGCTGTGTCTAAATGATCTAATATCTGTTATAAAGTTAATTATTCCTTGATTGTTGAAGCCATATCCTGTTGTTGGCCTTTGCTGTGTTTGTTGTCTGCAGTGACTGTTTCTGAGTTGACTTTGATGTAAGTTCATTGGCTCTGCAAATGTTTACTAATATTTGACTCTGGAAAGGGATTGCGTTGTGTTTTTGAGCATGTGCCATAAGCTTTATAGACTGTGATCCTTATGTTTTACTCCCATCTTAAATGAGGTATGATTTCCAAAGGGTCATTCATGACATTTTTTGGCTGTTTGGTGTGTGGTTAGGACTGAGTGCAAACAACACAGAGATGAACTTTTTGAAAGTGTACTTTGCAGTATAATCCTTAAGCTCCAATTAAAAGTACAAAAATATATTGTGTTGGTTTTTGGAAGTCTTAGAACTGTACTGGTAAGTAATTGATAATGGTTAATCCATTTACTAATGATGCATCTGCATTGCTAGCACTTAACAGTCATCTGTAAAAGTCTTGGATTTTAATATTTTGTTTCAGCGCATTAAACAGACCTGAGTAATTATTTATTTTCTCAAAATATTGCTAAAAGCTCTGAGTTTTTATTGCCCAGAAAAGGAAAGTTTTGTAAGTACATAAACAAATAATGAAAGTGGAAAGAACAATTCGTTTTCTTTTGTCCCTAATGAATTTTGTTTTTCAAATAAAATTTCACTTCTTTAATATGATTTTCTTTGTCTAATAGATAACTGCCTACAATAGGCGTACCTTTGAGACTGCAAGGCATAATTTGATAATTAATATAATGTCAGCAGAAGGTAGGTATGAAAAAATATATTGCTGACTGTTCTCTTATTTTCCAGAAGTATTTCATTATGTTTTATATCTATGTAACATATATAGTTTAGGATTTTAAAATACCACTCACCTAATATAACTAATGAAATAGCAACATGTAGAAAACAGAAAAACTAAGCAATATATAATAGGTCATAAAATATCATGATGTGTTACGGTGCTGAAAAGCTCAGGACAGGAAGCCAAACAGGCAACTTAATGCTCCAGGTCTTGGTTTCATCATCTGTATAATGAGAACAAGAATACAATTTCCCTCCTCAGTCTGGGGTAAGGATTCCACAAGTGAAGGCTCAAAATATGCTGATTTCGGGGCAGAGAACAGAGTGCAACATCAGTGTTAGCTAATTTTATTACTTTACTTTAAACCTTATCATAGGTAGTAGTCCATTTGCATGTGAAGATAAAGAGTTGTTGATGGACAAAAATAAACTGGGATTTGGGTAACAATCCTTCCTAAACAGTAGTCATGCATCAGTAATTGCTGAAGTCCATCAGTAGTTGAGTTCCATATGCTCAATTTGTAAGAGATTGCCAAGGACTTGAAAGGTTAGGGTCACAGGAGATATTCCAGGAATTACACTCTCAAATATTCTGACTCTATTTTGGCATTTGATTGGGAAAAATACCTACCACTAATAAACCATGAGATAATTACTCTCTATACCAGAGATCATTTATGGGGGTAACAGAAGAAGGACTGCTAAAGCATTTTTTTCCACTGAAAACAAGAGAACAGTTGTGCATCCTCCATAGGGGAATTCTTTTTTTTATGAGTACATTTAAAAACAAATGAGCAAACATAAAATATTTTATCAAAGCCTACTAATTTGCAATTCATGATAATTCAGTAAAAGCCAGGTTAAAAATTGCCTGTAAATTATTTGAGAGTAATTTCTGAAAATTTGATAATGTGGTACATAACTAGGGAGATTGCTTGAAGACTTTGAACCACTTTACATGAGTCTTTCACCAAATGTTTTAGCAGCATTGACTGCAGGCAACAAATGCTCTCATTTAAAATGTAACATGACCTTCATATATGAAAAGCAAGTCCAGCTGCCAATTCTGTGGGCCTAGACAGAGGATTCCCTGTCCACTTGTCCACTTCTCAAGGGCTTTTGGTGTGTATTCATGTTTGGATCAGGGACAGTTTTGTCTTTGACTCCAACTGTAATTAGATGCTTGCACACAGGCTATGTTGTCCCTGTAGAACTGGAATACCTTTAGTGAGCAGAATAATTGCAAAATTTCCTTCCCCTTGGGAATTCATCCATATATTTATATAGTTACTTGGCAGTGGGCTTTGACCCCTAACCTCACAATTACACTCTCAGAGGGACTCACAACCCTTTGTCAGGAACAGAAGTCCCTACATACTGAATAATAGCCTGGTCTGCAGTTTAAATGTTCTCCTTCCCAAGTCTGGTCTGTCATGTAGATACAGAGCACACAGGCATCCCATAGATGTTGATGTCTGGGGTACCCACGTTCAAGCAGATACTAATGAAAGACTGCTAGCCCACTGCAGGATTCACAGTTGGTTTTAGGGGCTCTCTATCTAAATCAGGGACTTTAAAAGTGTTTTAAAGTAGAAGCCTCCACTTCTATTTCTGGCAGAGCTGCCTTTCTGCCTTTTATTGTAGGGGTTGGTGGCCCCAAACAATGAAAACCAGTGAAACAAATGGCAAGTATTTATCCTTGTTGGTCTAGGCTGTATATGGGCATTAGGATGTTCATCTTTGAGCATGGTCTACACATATGCCATTTTGCCCAGATGAAGTTAGGAAATGAAATAACAAGGGTCGAATATCAGGATCATCATGCTGGGTCTGGCTCCCTGGCCAGATGTCTCCTACTCTGAGAGACCTAATGGGAAATTAGTCATGTGGAATCACAGCATGGATTCACTCTCAAGGTGAGTACATGGAGTGATTCTCTAAATTGGGTTTAGTATCTCAGAGGCCTGCCACCAGTCTTTTGGCCTACTGTTCCCTTGGCCTCTGTGACGTCCAAATATAGTAGGCACGGGATTTCCCCAAAGTTAGAAAGCGACTGTGACTCATCTCTGGGAGTCCTGGCAGCAGCACTTGGCCGAGTAGACAGCAGGCAGCTGCACAGCCCAGAGCCTCTGAGGGGTGGGGCAGCAAGTGTGTGTCAGAAAGGAGCCATAAAGCAGGTCTCGTGGATCAGGAAAAGCCACGGAACAGTTCTCCAAGAAGTAGCATTCATAATAAGGAAAAGGTGTTGCATACTTTTTTAGAGAAGTAGATATAAAGACACTGAATGAAATTACAATAGCTGATCGACTTCTAGCATACTCAAAAACGATCTTTGGTATTATTTGTAAATACTATTTATTGCCAAGAAACTGTCCTTCGTGACATTTTACTGCATGACTATTTTTCAGTATGGGGAAAAATGTAACATGATTAAGCTACTGTTTATCTGTACAAAACAGGAAATCTATCTTTATAAAAGAAGGAACTTATCTACATAAGAGAATAAATTTATCATATTTTAGAAGATTGCAGGTGGCCCATACATCAAACAAATCTAACAAAATCATAAGCAATATAAATGACAGTGTAGGAGATGAGTAAAGAATCTGTGAGTAGGGCCTGGAAAAACTCAATCTTTAGGAAGAGACACTATACTCCAGAAAATGCTCTTGAAAAATCTAAAGCCAGAATATATTCTCTGACATCACCTCTGGCATCAAAATATCCTTTAATAATACAGAAACTTCATAAGAAATGAGGTCATCAAGATTTCAGTTATTTATTGTATAATTTTTATTTTTTTAATTATTTAAAAGGTGTGGTATTTTTACATATACATGAATTTTAATGAAATAAATCAGAGGATATACATAGCATAATTATTATTGAGGACTCTAAATCTGTGCATAGTCCAGAAACATTTTCTTTTTTCTTTTAAGGGAAGAATTCAGGTCATCAACCATTCATATTATTATAGTAATTGGTAAAATTTAATATTTTGTAAGTTCTTACTCTATGCTGGGAGTTTGGTTGAGCATTTTATATATAGTCTCCTTTAGCTTAAGTAAAAAATAATATGAAGCTCAAATAATGGTAAATTCCCGGACTTTTCTAAAGATCAACTTTCCCTCTGGTTGTGAGTATTATGATAATTTACATCAGTCCCTTAGCTTGAGCCTGCCTTATAGTAAGTATTCAAAAAAGGTAGCCTTTATTGTTACAGAAATATTATCAGATGAAAAGAAGCTAGTCTTTATCTTAATAGAACAATCAGAATATAGGAAATAATGGTTTGTAATTCAAGAGCAACATTTGAGAAACTGAAATAAATTATACATTGGGTTGGTTCAAAATACTCATTTTGTAATCTTTAGAGGAAATATTGATGAGACCTTGGGAGGAAGATAACTAACTAAATCTCTAAGAATGTGAGATATGGAAGTTCATGAGAAATTTAAAATATAATTTCTTTAGAATATTTAATTATGGAGTGAACAAAAGAGCAAAATTGCTATGATTTCAGAATTCTTTTTGGAAATGTAATCAGTGTTTATTTTAGTAAAAAGTAACATTTTAGCATGCTCCAAAAAGATCAGTAATACCACAAATCACAAATAACGGTATTCCAAATCATATATAAACAACCCACAAACAGATATTTTGTTATGTCTTCTCTACATGGAAAGGATGTTGCTCTGTGCCTTAACTTCCTCCTCTGTTAAATGGGCATAGCATTACCTAGGGTTGTAATGATTAAATGAGATGATGTATTTGAAAAATACTACAAATACAAAATATTCTTACCCATGTAGAGTTCTGGAAATGCTCTGGGTACATTGGCAGGGGGAGGTGGTTGCCAGATTGTTGGCAAGTGGAGGCAGATTTGGCATTTATTTTGTCCAAATTCTAGAATTATAAATTGCCTGGCTGTTCCTTGGATTTGATTATATTGTAGATAAAAATTCTGTGTCAGATGCACGTTAACATTTCTAGATATATCCTCTGTTATACAGAAAACCCCTAAAGTCAGTATTAATAGTTTCCTACAGCCAGGATTATGACAGAAATCAACAAATCTCAAACTGTTCTTTTGTTTCTCTTTCAAAAGACTTCATTAAAGATATGCATACCCTTTTTCACCAAAATTAGACTTCCCGTTACCATATCAAGCAGAATTCTTCATTAAAAATATGAATGTAGAAGAAATGTTGGCCAGTGAGGTTCTTGGAGACTTTCTCGGGGCAGTGAAAAATGTCTGGCAGCCAGAGCGTCTCAATGCCATAAACATCACGTCAGCCCTAGACAGGGGCGGCAGGGTCCCGCTCCCCATTAATGACATGAAGGAGGGGTAAGTAGACCTGTATCTCATTGCCTTAAATATGGGTTTTAAATATGGTGATCTTATCAAACTTATTATAGGTGGAAGATGGCCTATTGCATTTTTCTTTTTAATATGAAGTTGGTATTGTTAAAGATATGACAATACTAGCAATTTTCTATATTGACAAAGACGTTACATTAATGGTTCTTTATATCTGATGTTCCAGGTCCTGTGAAATCTATTGTAGATCAAGATCAGCATCATAAATTACAGCACTAAGTCTTTTGTACCTTCCATAGAGAAACTGATTATTTAGGGCCCTGAATCTCAGAGGAAATTGATGCCCCAGTTATCAGCTGCAGAAGGAGGCACAGACTGCTGTAACTTTATTCTAGGAAACTATTTCTTCTCCTTTAACATTCTTTCCACTGTGTGTCAGTGACTGATGACTAGAGTGGATCTGAAGCCCACGGCTGAAGCCTGGCCTTGTCACTCACATGCCAGACTCTTCTGTGCCTCGGCTTCCTCATTTACTCCAGTGAGCACTATACTCTTCTCAGGGTTATGTGATTATGGGAGACAATACATTTGAAAGGGATTTGTCTCTTTTCAAGCCATACAAATCTAAGGTATGACTTATATCCCTGTGGATATTAAAAACACTCCTTATACCTTGATAAAGCTAAAGGATCAAGTGTCCGAGTGGAACCAAACTTTGATTTTTAATTTCTAATCTGTAGATTGAGACAGATCTACCTTTAAAAAACAAAAAAGTCCAATCTTATAAATGTAAATGGAATAAATCATATTTTATACAACGTATCTCCCCCAACCCCTTCTTTATTCATATTCCAGGTAACATTTTATACAGATGACATCTGGAATTAACTAGAGTGCCTGGATTAATAAGAATTAAATTTAATGGCAGCTTTAAATGAGAACTTTGCTGGATATAAGGGGAAGATCACAAATAGATGTAGATGAAGTATGAGGGAGTAGTAGGCAGAAGGAGGGATAAGGGATGAGCAGTGAGCTGCAAAGTCAACTGACAAATTTCAGAATTAAATCGTGGCTTGTATGTTACAGTAATGGATTTTGAAGTTAGTGAAGCACACATAGAAGTGCTTTGAGGAAAATAGTTGCTTTATCCTTGTCTATCTGTTGGTTGACTTCCTACATGAAAACATAATTCTAGAGCTTAGATTTTTACTTTGGAGTTACAGCATGTTTGTCTGTCCCACCGTGGAATTAAAGTAGAACCATGGAAAGAGGTGAACAAGGTGAACTGAAAGCATTCTTCAAATATAGAGTCTTTTTCAACAGTTTCTTAAAGTAATGTTCACCACGATGATTGTTAAAACAATGGCGAAAGATGGTGGGGGAAGCAACATGACCATCAAGTGTTGGTAGAGTTTTCCATAACTGCTTCCTTCTGGCTCACTCCTTCTCTAAGCAGTAGTGCAAGCCCCGCCCAGACACTTCTACAGGTAACTATTTAGAACTAAATAACTCTCTGAACCAAACTCTGACCTAAAACAGTGTTTACCAACTAGCCTGAGAATTGTCAGTAGAGCTTATAAGAAATATAGATAGGTTCCTGGCCTCTGATTCCCCCTAGAGATTCTGAATCTTTCAGTCTAGGGCTGGGTCTGAGCATGTGACACTAAATTAAGAACAGAATTTTTGTCCTACAAGTGCTTGTTAAGAGAATTCAGTCATTAGGTGACTGACCCAACACCTGCTAGCGGGTGGCATGTGCTGTCAGACATTTGAGGAAGTCAGTCCTCTGGCATTTATTTGGACCTTGTTGTCTCAGATCCCTTCCCAACTTGAAATCCTTTCCATGAGTTTTAATGTAATGTTAAGCCGTAACCTTTACAGAGTATTCACATGATAAGTCTTTTAAAATAACATTTCTTTAAATTGTACCCAAAGCTAACTCTATTACTCTAGTGTCCCTATATGAGCACTGATGAAATATGATCTGGCTTGAGCAAAATTTTAGAAGGAAAATTTGTCCCTGGAATGATTTTGCGTATTTTCTTTAGTTGTGATACAATGTCACGATAACAAAAATAATTTTTCTTACTCTATTGTCCTAAACTTAGAAATAAATCCAGTGTTTAACTCTTGTGCCTTCATGATTCTTCATTCACTTAATAAACATTTTGCCCCTGTACTTTCTTTTGAAAATATCATGGACTATAAAACCCTTTAAAAATGAAATATGGAAAAGATCAAGAGGTAGGGTCAGACATAGCACAGATAGTGCATCTCTTTCTTTTCTAAAATTGTGTTTAAAAATATTCATACACTTCAGAAAAATTAAGCACCTGATTAATGTGTCCTGCTTAATACTTAGCATAAATCTTAGTCTCTGATTAAAACAAACAAAAAAATTTCCATGAAGCTATTTCCTGTTGCCTATGGCAGCCATATTCTACCTTCTCCCCATATTGATGTACATAGTCAAATGCACAGCAGATGACCAAGAGCAGCTCTCACAGTAGACCATCAGAGTAAATCTTGTCCTCCCACAGTGCAGAGCACCACCCTGTGTCAGTCAGACGGGAACCCACTCCGCAGCATCCTAGGCCCTCCTCTGCGTTTTTTTGATGTCGGCAGAACTTGCTGACAGTTTTCAAACTTCTGCTAAATCTAACAGAAAACAATTACAAAGATATACTTCAGAGTGAGTAAGCTCCCGCAAAGGAAGGCAGGGCATCCTGGAAAGATTCCCTTTCCCTAGTCAGACCCATAACCCCAGGGCAACTGTGCTTGCTCTCTGGGTGTGGTCTTGGGGCTGCTCTGGCTCCTGACCCTGGGCGCCAGGGGCTGAAGGCTTGTGGATGCATTTAACCTGGGGTAAAGCTGCTGGAAAGAGGAGTAGGTTCATATTTCATTCTAGGCATGGCTTAGCTGCCAACCCAGGGTGAGTGATGTAGTGTAAATGGTGGCGACGAAGGGAGTGATGGGGTGTGAGGATTAAAGAATATACTCACTTTTCATAAGAGACTGTGGGACCTACCACCCTTTCCCCTGGTTACCAAAGCAGGTGAATCTAGCCTCAACAGAGAATCCTATTTTATTCCTCAGACAAGCTCAAAGTGCACCCTCTAATTAAATGCCTGGGTTTTGCCCTGTAAAGGCTTCAGTGAGGAGTTACACTTGGAGAATGTAACTCAGTGACTGCCAAATGCTGCTCTAATGCAAGGCCAGTCCCTAATGCTCTGCTGACTAAGTCCCCAGGTTGGGTGATTTACAAGTGTCCTTTATTCTTAAATAATGTGCCTCCCATATTTTTGGTGCAAATAGCCTTTCTTTTATGGAATGATAGTAATATGAGGTGGAATTTCTGGAAAAAGCCTTTAATAAAGTAAAAATTGGAAGCCCATATAAATCCATTTTTATAAGTATGAAGATGAATAAATGAAATCAGTGCAACTAATACCTATTCTTTCAGGCTGTAGGCAGAGATTCAGTTTTTCTTACATAGCTTAGCATTTATTAAGGACTTCTTGAGGGAGGAATATTGTATGTATTACTCTCTAGGATACAGTGATAAAAAAATACAATCTGTGCTCATAATCTATTAGGGAACAGGCAAGTAATAAGGTAATTAAAAAACAATGTTGTGCATATCACAGTAGAGGTATTCAGAGTCCCCCTCCTCCACTTCATGTCCATGCTGGAAAGGATTCACAGAGGAGGTAAAACCTAATCTGAGTTTAAAATTTAAGTACAAGTTAGCCTGCTCAAAAAATGAAAAGGGGAATTTTAGCCAGAGGGAACAGTTTAAGCAGAAGCCCTTAGATAAGGGAAAGCCTGATAGATTTGGAAATCTACTTCTTGTGCAATGGGGGACAGGAATCTGGAAGCAATAGTTATAAAGGAGGCAAAGACTCAACCATGTTATGCCTTGTACACCAAGAAAAATTGTTTGGGTTTTTATCCAGAAGCATTAGAGACTTTTGCAGAAAATGGTTCATATTAAAGTTTTCATTTTAGCAGGTGGACCTGCTAAGCCTACCACATGGTTGAAAGAGTAGACCCAACCCAACGCCTCTTTGCTGCCAGCAGGGCCCACCCCCACATCCAACCCACAATAACAAACAAAAAGGGTGTGAGCCTTGTGTTTCAGTTCCCTCTTCCGGTAAGACGATTCCTTCTCCAACTGAGGAAGAGTAAGCAAACAATAGACCTGGAGACTAGAAGTGTCCTTTATTCTTGATTTTTATTCTGTATTAGATCCTTTGTTTAGTTTTATTTGTTCTTCATTCTTTTATTTTCTCATGCTGTTTTTTGACTGAATGCTTGATTACCTGATTGCAGATATGCACAGAACAAGGTGGAGTGGGGACAGAAGCAAGAATCATGGTATATTGTCTTTTAAGAGCTCAAGAGTTCCCAGGCAACATGTAACATGTGTGGACAAGTTCTTCTCTAAGCTGTCTTTTACCTCCTATATACAAAATAAAGAATAAAATTAATTCATTGCTTAGACAGGTAAAAAATACAGTCATTGGATCCATTTACCTGGCTATTGCTGAAGAAGTCGGTTTTGACTTAAATTTTTTACCTGTTACTTGGTTCTCCACAATGTATGTATAAAGGCCACAGTGAATGTGTTTTGCCTCAATTGAGTTGTCCAAATTGAAAGAAACTATGTTGTTCAAATTGAAAAAAAGATACTTCATAAGGAACAAAATCTTAAGATTTTGAAGTACTATGTTTTAAGATTGCTTGAGAACATTGTACTTGATAATAGGCTCCTATTTCATCTGTTTACATGCATTTGAAAGTTTGAAAATATGTGGCTAAGGTCATAAAGGTAAAGCTCATCCTCATTTCACTTCATAAAACATTCAAATTTCTGCATATCAAAAAGCTAGCTAAAAGAAAAACAACAGGTCATGAAAAATGTAATTTTAGAATGAATAGCATAGAGGTATTATTGTTATACATTGCCTCATGCAAAATTATTTTTTTTAAAAAGCCAGTATGTTTTAACTTACTGACTAGACAAAAGAAACAATATATATATACACAGTTTTGTTTTTCTCAGTTTTATTGATATAATTGACACGTAATATTGTATAAGTTTAAGGTACAACATAATGATTTGATGTATGTGTATACTGTAAATTGATCACCACGGTAAATTTAGTTAACATCCATTACCTCCCAGTTACAATTTTTTTTCTTGTTATGAGGTCTTTTAAGATCTACCCTCAGCAGCTTTCACATACACAATTGGTTCTGTTTTTGAATGGGTATAATGCTCTTCGCTCATTCATTCTGCAGATAGGCTCCCTGAGGACAGAGAGGAGGACTGGGTTCAAGGAGAACCTTTAAGAGGCTTGTTGCGCCACCTCCTGGAAAAAGTGATGGTGACTAGAAGTAGGGTTGTAGTGAGATGGGACAAAGTGGACAGGTGTGTATTGAAGTTCTGTCAGGGTAAATGTGAGAGACTGATGATGGATTGAGTATGTGGGGAGATGGATAGGAGTCAGAGTTGATGGTGCTTAGCATCTGCCCATGCCAATCATCGAGAAAGAAGAAGATAGAAGGGGAACAGGTGAGGGTGGGGTGGGGTGATGAGCTCAGTTAGGAACAGGGTAAGTTTGTGAAGCTTATGGATCATCCAAGCAGAGATGAAAGTAATTTGGCAGTATGTGTCAACTGCCATAAAAATGTTTCCACTCTAGGCATCTCTTTTAAGATAGCAACATTAAAGAATACACACAGAGATAGTCTCTGCAATATTATTTGTAACATCAAAAAATTGGAAGCAGCTCTGAAATAATTACTAATAAATCATGTACACTTAAAAATTATATTTCCATAAATCTATAATTATGAAGACTGTACAATATGGAAAATGCTTATGACACATTAAGTGAAAAAATACAAAAATGTGTTTTAGAGATGATTGCAATTATGTTAAAATGTATGTATTTGAAAAATATAAGGTACATTGGACAATGAAAATAGTTATCTTGGTCATATAAATTAATTCTGTTTTCATATCCCAAGTTTTATGAAATGTTTTCATGTTTCTTTTATAATTTGAGAAAAAAAGATATTTCCAAGCACCAAAAAACTCCTACGTTATGTCTATTTACATTACCTTGAAGTGAATGAATTGAAATATTACTAATTATAAATGCAAATCTGTCATGCTAAAGCAAGAGGATTGTTAGCAGTTGTAAGAAATATTTTATTTCTGTATGTACAAATACGTTTAAAAGTTATCAAAGAAAAATAGCTAGACAGTAAAGGGATAGAAACTGGCTTTATGTGAAGCTTAAAGATAACAACTTGGTTTAAATAGAATATGTGAATACACTGATCATCTAAAAGCTTTTTATATCCACTTTTATTCTGAATTTCTAGTTTTTAATTTTATCTTTATTTTCAATACATTATATACCATCTGTCTCCCAAAGGCACCATAGTTTTCTTTTTTTTAAATGTTATTTCAAGTGAATCTTGAGTCCAAATATACATTTGACACAAAGCAACCCAATGAGTGTGTAATTGTACTCTGGGACACATTTTTCAACTCAGGGTGTGACTTCATGCTTAGATTGACATAGCTTTGAATTTTTGAGCCACATTTTTATTTCATTTTTAAAAATAACTGCTTTATTGAGATATTCACCTAACATACAATTCACTTATTTTAAAGTATAAACTCAATGGGTTTTACTTTATTCAAGTTGTACAATCATTGCACAATCATTTTAGAACATTTTTTATCATCCCACCCATCCCCCGTACCATTAGCCGTTGTGTCCAGCTTTGGGCAAGCAACCACTTTTACTTACTGTCTCCATAAATCATTTGCCTTTTCTGGACATTTCATATGAATAGAATCATACAATATGTGATCTTTTGTGAGTGACTTCTTTCATGTAGCATAATTACTTTCAAGGTTCATCCATGTTCCTTTTTTATGACTGAGTATCATATGGATTTTCCACCTTTTATCCATTCATCAGTTGTTAAGCATTTGGACTGTTCCCACCTTATGACTACTATGAATAATGTTACTATGAACATTCATGTACAAGTTTTTGTAGGGAAGACATACATATTCATTTTTCTTAGGTTATATACTTAGGAGTAAATTCGCTGGATCAGGTGATAAGTCCTTATTTAATCTTTTGAGGAACTGCCAGACTATTTTCCAAAGAAGCTGCACCATTTTACATTCCCACCAGCAGAGCAGGAGAGTTCTAATTTCTCCACACCGTTGCCAGCGCTTCCCGTTACCTGCCTTTTTAACTGTAACTATTCCAATGGATATGAAGTAGTATGTTGTGGTTTTTCTCTTTTGCCAAAAAATGTTGAGCATTTTTTCATGTGCTTATCAGACATTTGTATATCTCCTCCCAACAACTGTCTGTTTAGATTTGTTACCATTTTTAAGCTGTATTACTTGTCTTTTTGTTACTGAGTTGTGTCCTTTCTATATTGTAGATACAAGTCCCTTAGGTGTGTGACTCGCAAATATTTTCTCCCATTTCATGGGCTGCCTTTCACTTTCTTGATGTTGGCCCTCGAAGCACACATTTTTAAATTTTGTTAAAATCCAGTTTCTCTACTTTTTTTTCTGTTACTGTCAGAACTTTTGGAGTCATACGTAAGAAATCATTGCCTAATCCAAGGTCACAACAATTTATTCATTTTCTCCTCAGTTTTAATAGTTTTACCTCTTACATTTAAGTCTTTGATTTATTTTGAGTTCATTTTTTATGTGGTGTGAGTAGGGGTACAACTTCATTATTTTGCATGTGGATATCCAGTTATCCTGGTACCATTTGTTGAAAAGACACTTCTTTCCCCAGTGAATTGTCTTGGCATCTGTGACAAAAATCAATTTACTAAATGTAAGAGTTTATTTCTGAATAAACTCTGAAATCTATTTAATTGATCTACGTGTCTTTATGCTAGTACCACATTATTCTGATCACTATTGCTTTGTAGTAAGTTTTGAAATCTGTAGTTGTGAGTCTCCCAACTTTTTCTTTTTCCATTATATTTCCATACAAATTTTAGGACCGCTGGTCAATTTCTGCAAAGAAAACAGCTGGAATTTCAATAGGTTTAGGTCACTTTATAAGTAGTCATAGCATTGTCATTAAGCAAAGAAATAATATTTATTTAGAGTAATTTCCTGTTTTTTTTCTTTTCTTTTGAAAGACCAGTGAGATTCCCTTATTCTCAACCTGCTCCAAGATTGTATGCTGTTATCACTGTGCTGTGTTCACTTTTATTGTGAAACTCATTGGCCAATTAAGTAGAATTCTTTCCCCCTAAGTGCCAAGATACACTCCAAGAAAATTAATTTTGTTTGCCTACTTTGTGTTTACCAAACAATAGTTCTGCTCTTATATTAGTTCTTAGATAAAAGATTGCAAGACCTTGGAATGAGAAACCTAACAGCAGGGGTTTGTGCAGAAGAAATACTGACAGAACTCGGGTAGAATAGCTCAGTCAGCCTAAAGCACCAAACCTCCAGGGATATAATTTCACAATCTTATAAACTGAAATCAAGTGATTATTTATTATTAATAATTATTTATTGCTTAGGAGTAGTGTTATTTTCTAGACAGTCTATTTTAAGAAAACTTTTTAAGTGTAAGTAAACTACCAAGCAGTAATGAGAATATGATACACACTTATTTTGAATTAAAATAAGTAGGATGAAAAACATGTTTAGAAATTACCAGAACTGAGAGAGTTTTCGTGCACCACAGCACTCTGTAAATATTGATTGAGTAAAAAAAAAAATGAAAGGAAGCTTCTATATGAAACACTGCTTTTAAAGCCTAGGACCCTACTTTGGGGATGATTCTAGATAATCCTTCAATTCAAAAGGATAAATCCTGCTTTCAGGGTAGATTGTTTTTCAGTGTTTCCAATTTTCTTAAAGAATAATCTGAGAGCTTCACATTTTTGCAGTGTTTATGTCATGGTTGGTGCCGATGTCCCATTTTCTTCTTGTTTACGAGAGGTTGAAAATCCACAGAATCAATTGAGATGCAGCCAAGAAATGGAGCCGGTAATAACATGTGACAAAAAGTTTCGTACTCAATTCTACATAGACTGGTGCAAAATTTCTTTGGTGAGTTTTTATTTTATTTTGTTTTTACAAATGTAATTAAAAGTGATGTGGCAGGAGATAACATTTGACCAAAACCTGAATTGCTTTTAGGAACAAATCCTGGGTTTACTTTGTGAACTGCAGTGGACTTCCTTGACCTCAAGGATTTGGCAAGCTCATTGACAGTGCATCCATTTGGGAAAGAGTATTTCCACTCTTGTACTCAATCTACCCTTGATTAGTTTGCTGGGACTGGATTAGCTTGGCAGGTGGTCCAGTTGATCCCCCTTAACATCCAAGTTGCTGCTAAATCAGGTTAAATTGTGAAGTCATTGTAACGTCCAGATAGTCTCAAATATGCTGCCACTACCCCATTTTGAAAGGAGAGATGGGAGTACAATCACAGATTTGAAATAAAGCAAGCTAGTGCTATGTTTCAGTGTCCTAGAAACTCAAACTGTAGGGAAAGTTCAAGGGATAAGAAATAATTCCAAGTGAGGAAAGTTAGAATCTTAACCTGTAGTCCATATATTAAATTTTTCTTTCTGAACCACCTTGTAATTAGCATGCTCAAAGACTTAAGAAAATGTAGATAAGGTTTCATCTTTATGTAAGATATATATAATTTGTTTGTTGGTCCTGCTTTCTGGAAGAAAAGAAAGTTATTTTATTTCTTTAGTGGACTTTAGATTTAACTTCTGTCAACTCTTGTTGGGTGGTGAATGAATTAGACCTAAGTTTAAAGTCGGCATTTGAACAAAGTTATTGACACATAAGCACAACTGTCACTTGTGTCTAGGAGAACCAACTGCAGGCACCTTTCCTGGCTCCAGTGTGGGAGAACGTATTATTCACGTTGCAACACTCAGCACCTGTGGCCCTTGGCCCTGGACTGCTCTTTTCATGTTGCTGTGTCTTTTCAGAAAATAAATAAATAAATCTTTCTTTGCCTTTTTAAATCAAGTAAAATTATTAAGACGCTGTGGTTTATATGGATTATAGGTAAATACTGAATTTGCAAAGCTCAGTATTTCAGTCATGGTGTTAATCATACAAGTGGGGAAAGATCGAGTTGCGGCAATCCTAACTTAAAGAGATGCCTTTATTTCATCTCTTTATGAAATGATGAAATCAGATGACTGATTTCATTATGACCAGTCAGTCAGTAGATGGCAGGCCCTAATGATGCCATTTGTCTTGTGCTCGTGTGTGACATGTTTACGCTTAGGAATACTATCTAATTTTTGAAGGTTTAAAATGACTTAAGCTTTGAAGATTTTAGTTTCTGTGGTAAGACTTTATAAATGGAAAGGTTGAGATTTTCATTTTTATTTTACATGTATTTATTGAGAGGTCACATCTTACTATAGGGAAGCTTAAATGAAAGAGTCAAACTATGAACACAATAAATAGAATAGAAAAGAAATGGAAAATCGGGACCTAAACTTTACAAAAAAATAAATCTGAAGTCAAGTTTGATAACAAGCCTCCCACTGCCCAGGATTAAGAGGAAATTCACTAGTTATTACTTCTCATTCTTAAAGAAGGCAGAACATCAATTCTTTGGCAGAAAATGAAGTTTCACTTGCACTCTTCTGTTAACAAAATTCTTGAAGTGGAATTTTTTGGGGGAGGATACTGAGAAATGCAACAATAATTCTCCCCAACTTTTTTGGGGGTATCTGGTGGGAATGCAAATGTAATTGACAAATTTTGCATGGCTATTTTTGTAGTGTCCTTCAAAAAAAAAAAACCCTTAGCACAAGTAAATGCAACTTAAGGAAAACAGTTCAATTAATGTGGAGGTAATATAGTGCAAATGTTGTGCATTTTTTGATCCTGGGATAGAATTTGGTGAAACTGTAGCATTGAATGGGTTACATATCCCTTAGACTATCTTTCCTACAAAATACCTCTGTCAGCTGGATGGTGGAAAGATTAAAGTTGTGATCATTTTGGAAATATTTCTCATTTTTTTTCTTTTCTCTTTGACTAACCTTTGAAACCGTAGTCTTGTACCTGGTTTTCAGCACTTAGTGGGTTGTTAACATCTACACTAGAGGTTTGTCACGAGAGGAAACAAGAAATTCACATAGTAGTGTAAAAGACTTGTTCTTTAGAGGAAGGAAACTGGGAAAGAACAGGAACCACACACACACACACACACACACACACACACACACACAGACGCGCACATGTGCGCGCACATATATTTTCCTACTGCCCATAAATAATTGCAAATTCAAGTTAATAAAGTAATTGGGAAAGATTGCTTTTTTAGAAATTTGTCAAAGCATGTTTTGATATATCTAGATCTTAAGCTCTCATAATGTTTGTAGCTATTAATTTGATGTGTAATTGTCTTCTTTTGTATCAGGTTGATAAAACAAAGCAAGTGTCCACCTATCAGGAAGTGATTCGTGGAGAGGGGATTTTACCTGATGGTGGAGAATACAAACCCCCTTCCGATTCTTTGAAAAGCAGAGACTATTACACGGATTTCCTAATTACACTGGCTGTGCCCTCGGCAGTAGCATTGGTCCTTTTTCTAATACTTGCTTATATCATGTGCTGCCGACGGGAAGGAGTGTGAGTACTTTAAAACACTAATAAAAAATTATAGAGCCGACTAAGATAACATGTGAGATTCCATTAAAAACCAAGTTTCATTTAGTTCATAAAACACTTTTATAAATGAGTTGAAATTGTGTTCAAGTTTAATACAATACTTTATTCCTTTAAAATGAATTAAAATAGTTTTGAGTCTAATAAATCAAATGAGGGGATATAATTACTTTACTCAAAAATTATTTAGGCTAGATATAAATGCATCCGGCAAAACAGTCCCAAGAATAATTGAGGCCAGTTTCAGTTACATGAGCCATCTTCTGTAAGCAGAGATCACAGAATCTATTGACATGGTAATTGCACTTTAAATCAATAAATTATCTTAGTTTGATCAGAAGTGATGGTCAGAATTCTTGCAGTTGTTCTGCTGTCAAACAGGTGACACAATCTAAATGCTTAAAAAAATGTATGAATATAAAAACTTAGGAGCAAATTAATGAAAATAAGTATAATTTAAGTAATGAGTCTTCATGAATAGTACTTTCAGGACATCTGTGTCAATTAAAATGATTTCCCAAGATTATCCTGGAAGTCAGGGTAACAAAGCAAAGGATAAAAAAAATAAAGCAGCAAGTAACAAATTCTTCCATTTTTACATGTAGCCTAATTTCATTATGTCATAGAATTTATTTCCAAGAGCTTGAATCTTGATCTCCATCCTTTTTCCTTTCTCTCTGTTTCTCATCAGTATTCCATCTCTGTATGTGTACTCATCCAAGTAATGTCATAAACCTGGTGGCAAATGCTTCCTGGTTGCATTTAATAATAACAATGTCAGCCATTTCCACCTCATGCAAGATCCCATGAACATATAGTCTTAATGTTCCAAATATCAATGCTATTATTTAATTCATAAATTTTGTTTTGTTTCTAGGGAAAAGAGAAACATGCAAACACCAGAGTAAGTGTCTTCTTTCCTGTTATTTTCTTTATCATTTGTTTTCACTTCTCAGTTGCTCACCATGCTCCATACATGTGTGCCATGCTTTTTTTTCATTTGTCATCTTCATAGTTGATTTCATAAATGTGAAAGCTGCTTTCTAAATAGAGACATTTAGGAGGGGTAGGAACTAAAAATAAAAAGGGTTTGAAAACTAAGAATATATAGTTAAAAATTAAATCTAAAATATTTCAGATTCAGAATATTAACTTGCCATTCATATTATGTGATTTCCTGATCTGCATTTCTATAAACCACAGAACAGATGAAAAGAACTTTCATACACGTTTTCCTGAATCTACAGTAATAACCTACCATAAAATGAAACTTCTGTGAGTATTTATTAAATGCCCCATCAGAAGCAACAATATAAAAGCTATGGTAGTTTTATTTTAATCATAGACATTAAATAGAATGCTAGTTTGTTACTTAGGGCTCTAATATTAACACAATGCTTTGTAGCTTAGTTTAATGAAAGACATTTATTTAAAAATTAATTTTTAATTTTCAGTTTTGCTATGTCAAAAGTATATGAACTGTATCTCTTTCTGAGGTAACTTGTAAAATGCCTGAAGTGCAATAATGTCTTCTTATTTTAAACAGAAAAACAATATTTCATAACTTACTAGTTAATGACCTATCAGGCTAGTATGCATTTTAAAAATATATGTTGTTTTGTTTCTTTTTGACCTAGTATCCAACTGGTCCATCATAGTGCTATTCAAAAATCTACCAAAGAACTTCGTGACATGTCCAAGAATAGAGAGATAGCCTGGCCCCTGTCAACGCTTCCTGTGTTTCACCCTGTAACTGGGGAAATCATGCCTCCCCTACATGCAGACAATTATGAGAGCACTAGTATGCCATTGATGCAAACGCAGCAGTAAGTATCCACTTGGAACTATAATTACTTAATATGCATGAATATATCTACTTAATGTCTATAAAGAGCAGACCTTTTCCGTTTTGTTGCTTTTGCTTTTTTATAGTTAGAAGAGAAAATACCAGAAGGACATTGATAGTGTAGAGCTCATACCTAGCATGCTGACCCAAATAAATAAGATTACTTTTGGGAAATGCTCTTTTTTCCTTCACTAATCCAGACAAGATGACATTCACCTTGATATTTAGGAAACTGACAGTGCTAATAAATGAACTGTGTTTGCACAAAGATGAGTTCACTGTAAAAGAGAAGTATATCCTAAAACATGACAAACTGATTATTTTTTAGAGTGATTGTTAGAATTATTTGGTTGTGTTAACTTTTTTTTTTTTAATGTTACTACCACAGATTTATTTAATCTAAATTTTTTGCCTCATATAAAAGGTTTTTAGGTTGCTTTTTGTGATCTGCTTGTATATCAGAATGAGTAGTTCTAGTTCTGGCTTTAAACACTATTAGTGCAGACCTTCAGTGTAGTGCCAGAACTGTGGTCAGAAAGCCTGCAAGAGGCCTCTGTAAGAGGGAGGTTAAGGAAACTGCCCAGTTGCTCTTTGAGAAATCTATGTTACATGCCTAGAAGCTCAATTTTGAATTAAGGGAACTGTAGGTAAAACTATCATTTATTTTTAAGAACAAGGCTTTTTTCCCCTTTTTTAACCATATGTTGAAGTGGGTTAAATTCAATTTCCCCAAGGAAGCCAAAAGTTTGCTTTTGAGATCCTCCTCTTTTTCACTTTATTTTTGTAAATAGAATGAACATACAGAAAAATCTGTCCCCCTCTGCAACATACACATAAACTTTAGGATATGATGTAAAAGTAACTTCTTTCTGATTAAAGATTTATCTGGGAACCATACTGAGTGCAAACATTTGCCCGTTAGGGTTGCTTATTTTATAACCATGTAAAATGCATGTGATAATTTGAAGACTAAAAAGTAATTAATATGAGACTATAGAGAGTCAGACTCAATAAATTTATCTAGCATTTTTTGGAAATATGAAAGTGTTAAGAGTATTTTCCTGAACTTCTCTAACATCATTTCGTGTTGAACAGAACAAGGAATGTATTTATGTATGTGTGTATGTGTGTATTATGTATGAGTAATTGATTCAAGTCCTATTAACAGAGGAGAAAATTGCATACATTTTAATATTTGAGTTTTGGAAGCAATATTCTATCAGGGTTATAAATACAAAATTTAGTTCTACCTAATGGAAGGGATGGATTTCTATGTTCTCTGATGATCAGTGAGTCATCATATAAATCCACACTTCCCTGGTTAGGTACTGATGAGAAAAATTAGTAAAGTTTCAAGAATATTGTAGTAGCTCACAATGTAACAATCTCTCCTGCCTTTTTTAGATGAAAATTATGAACAGCCTTGTCAAAGTAATTTTTTTTCAAGATGAAAAGAATTAACAAATTCTTTAAGACTACCATTTCTTATATTATTTACCCAAGAGTGCTGGTGAAACATTGTATATATTCTTCAAATGCTGATATGTATTCTCAAAATGAAATAGTCAAAATACACTTGAAAAACAGGTTTTTGTTTTTAAACAAGAGTTCTCAGAGCCTTCAGTGCATTGGTAAGCTTTGTGAAACCATGGGAAAATGTCAGAAATGGTAACTTTAAGGAACACAGAGAAATACTTCTGGTGACAAAGTAACAATGCTGTCAATTTTAGAATGAAGAAATATTCAATATAATCAGTAGGGGAACTTGAATACATTTGCAAATCACTAAAATCTGTTGCTGGTGAAGTTTAAGGGAGGAAAAAGACTGTCATTTTTTAGATACTCTTTTTGACCATATATTGAGAATAAGAATAGCCCCTTAAAAATTATTTTGTTTCCCCGTGGCTAGGATTTCACAATGTTGCTGCTAATATACAGGCAAAATAAAATTTTCTATCTAGTTTACAACCAAATGCATCCTCCTTTCATAACCCCATTAAGATGGTCATTATGTTGATCAGATCTATTTGCAAATGCAATAGGTTGCTTTATTGGACTTGCAACAATTTGACCATGTATGTATTTTTAAGTCCAGAAAACCTTCATATTATTCAGATTTCTGCTAATGGAAAAACTCCATTAACTAGCACTTCTATATAAATAGGGTACATAGGTAATTGATGATGCTCACAATGATTATTCTGAGGCACTGCGAGATCATCAAGTGGGTCTGACTCATCAGAGGAAAATTAAATTACATTTGGTGTAGTTTCAGTGTTGAGTGTATATTATCTTTTTTTTTTATTCCTGGAAATGGATAATATGTGCACGGTCTCTATGGTAACTCCCTATAAGCCAGAATATGTGATTAACCTCATTTTCCAACCATGCCAGATAATAGGGAATTTATTGTATCAGGTTTGTCACAGCTGTCCTTTATGCAAATTCATCTCTTACCCCTTACCTTAAAAGCATGGCCCTGTTTTTAAAGTTGTATTTCAGCATCAAGTACACACATATATAAATATTGTCATCATTTGGATCAAACTGAATTCTCAACATTAAAATGAGGCATTTGATGAGGTGTTACGCTACTTGACAACCAGGTATATGCTTGGATAATGCTGTCTGGTATTTGTTAATTAACCTTTCCTAGAAGGGCATGTGTTTCATCTTTACATATTCATACTAGCCATGCTGATCTTATCATTCATCACTAATTTGGCTAGCTACAGGCTTTTGTGTTTATTCTTCAGACTCAACAACGGAAGTATTTAGGCATAAAGATATGACTGGAAGTCTGTTGACTTCTAAGCAAGACTCAAGAACATTCAAAGCTTTCCTGAAAAGGTCCATAGAAATCTGTTTGGGTTTTTAAAATAAGTGAATCCGTGAGGCCTAGAGAACCTTATAATAGTGTGAGGTGTGAAGGAGGAAAACTTATAGCAGTTGTAGGATAAAAAGCTGCCACAGTTATTTGTCAATTACACAGTAATATTTTATTTTTGGTAGAATGCTTCACAGGATTGCAGACTGGTATCATAGATTAGACAGTAAAAAAATTGTTTAATCATTTCCAGATGATAAAAATGAGACATGAATAAGAGACAAAGCTAAATTAGGTCAAAACTGAGATTAGATTATTTACCTATCTCATTATTAAGTTAGGGATAGATAATGTGGTCATTGACCTCAGAAGGATCTTGGATCCAGGTTACAAGTAAGATGATTGAACAGATAGTGGATAGAGGAACTGGAGTCGGACCAGGAGATGGAACATATGCTCAGAAAAGAGGATTTCATTAGGTCCAGTGTTCCTTCCACATGTCAGATTACAGAGACAATATAATATAAACAGGCTGTTAGTGATCACATAGTATAGAAATGTAAGGTAAATTTAATTTGATCTTTGCTAATATATTTATTATTTAATATAATAACCTTTTTATTTTGGAATGATTTTTGAGGTACAGAAAAGTTGCAAAGTTAATACATGGTCTTCCAAGATATCCCTTACCCCGTTTCTCCCATTGTTAACATCTCACAGTGCCATAGTATGTTTGTCACAGCTAAGAAACCAGCATCAGTGCCTTGACATTAACTGGACTTCAGACTTTGTTTTTCCTCCGGAATTTCACTAGTTTTTCCTCTAAGGCTCCTTTTCTGTTCCAGGATTCTGTCTAGGACACAAGAATTGGCCTGTCCCTTTAGTCTCCTTTGGTCTGAGCAGTCTTTTAAACCTTCCGTGTTTCCCTGACCTTAACAGTCTTGAGAAGCACTAGCCATGTATTCTGTAGAATGTTCCCTACCTCTAATAGTCAGGTTTCTGTATATATACTTAATCAGTTTTCTTTGTAGCCCAGTGAAAAAATGTTACCATAAATATCAAGAAGAATTTTTTTCCTCTATAGGCAGTCCCCTTACTCATTTCAGTTCATTGCTGGAAATCACATTATAAAGGAATCCTTAAAGGTAACTTTGCTTTGCCCAAAAACTGTAATTTGGGGTTGTGTTTTTGACCAAAGACTTAACGTCAGAAATATATTACAGATATTACTGGTGTACTTCCAGGATAAACCTTTGTAATGACTTAAATTAAGAAAACCAAATTCCAAGTCACAGAATTGTAGGTCCTAAAAGGAATGTTGAGAGAGAGTCTGGCCTGGTTGTTCCCAAACCAAGTTGCAAGTCAAACTCGGCTGTGGAGCTTTTACAATACAGATCCCAGCTCTTTCTTCTGGGGATTAGGAATCTTGAGGATATGTGTGTTTTGGAGGAGCAGGAAAAAAAAGGTTGAGAAACGCTGACTTAAAGGACCTAGGCTTCAGGATTTGGAAAAAGCCAGATTGGTATTTCTGGTATCTCTGTTGGGGATGGAGGTGAGGAAGTGGTTGTTATTCACACTGCTCCTTGTAGTCTTTAAGACGGGGAACAGTTTCTCCTAACTCCCCCAAAGGGGTATGTGCAAAAGAGCAGTGTGAAAGGGGCAGTCCCAAGGCATTAGCCAGAGGGTTTTTTGGCTGTTGTGGGTTTATACTTACCAACCTCTAGACTTTACACACCTCCTGAAGATGCCAGAGGAATGGTGTGGCCAAGTGAGAGATGAATGCTGATTAGAATACAATGTGTGAATGGGACAGAGAAATGCTAAACCTTGAAAAGGTAAAGACCACTGGGAAATTATACTCATTTTGTAATTTTATGGGAGGCATTGATCTGAGATTGCCAAATGTTCAAATTTTCAAAAAAATAATTTATTCTTAAATTTGTAATGCATTATGTGGTCTTTTAGTGGTAGATCTGCCTCCCCATTATTCTCTTCTTGCACCAACATCAATATCAATCAATTTTTTCCTTAGTAGAAGGCATTGTCCTAAAGGGTTTTATGTAATTCATAATAGGGGAAAGTGCCCAAACATTTTCAAGGAAGATTTTAACTGTCTGTCCAAAAATTTTCCTTCTCCATTATACTAAACATAATGCCTAATCCAGGATGATGGGGAGTCCCTCAAAACAGGAGGTAGGTTGTACTTATTAAACTCTTTTGCAAATTAAAAAGTATAAAAGAAGAATTAAGTCTTCTAATTAAAGATATGTAATAACTAATCATTTTAGCTTTTATCTAAAGTATTTTTCCATCTGTTATCCCTTTGATTATGAGAACTAACTTCATGGTAAAATTCCATAAATAAAAAATTAGATTTCAAATGAGGGTTAATACCAGTTGAAGAGATGTTTCAGGGGAACAAGAGAATGATTTCCTGTTGATAAGTGTCAAGCAGGCAAGGGTATTTCAGAGCCATTGACTTTTTTTTTTTAATTTACCAAGTACACCCTAAAAATGACAGGTGAAATAGCTCTTTGATGATTTCGGTTCTGTAGGTTTGTGCTGTTTAAAACTTGGTAGGCTTGCTTTTGGTTTTAACACAAACAGGGAGAAAAATAAGACAGAAACAGATGTCTCCTTTCTGCTTTATATTCCATGTATGTGTTACATATATTTTAATTAAAATTAGGTTTTGAAACTAAAAATTATGTTTCCAATATTTTCGTGTTCCTCCTTCCTTCCTTAATCCAAATAATGTCCTGCTTCCATAGTAAAGTACTTATAAGGATTCAAATCAGCTTTTTTTTTTAAAGAAAAAATTTTGTAGAAAATTCAAGGTTTGGGCAATACCAATTTTGCTGAAATTAACTGGGAAATTCCAAAAATACATTACTATTTCTTATTGTTAAATGACCTCATACTAATTCAGAAGAACTGTTTGATATTCTACATAGCTGATGTCATTTATTTTCAACTCTGGCACAGATTCTGTGGCTTTACGCAGGTCACTTAACCTTTCTTTGCTTTTGAGTCTTCAAGCAGGCAGGAATATACCGGGTTCATAATCACCAACCTTACTCACAGAATTACTCTACAGGATATCCAAGAATGCCAAATTACCTTAAACTGGTTATACACATAATAAATAATTGTGCATGCCCCCCAAATTGCTTATTTATTAATTTGCAAGTTATTACCTTTGCTTTTTTAAAGAATGAAGTTTGTGCAATGGCTAATTTACATAATTTTCTATTTAAATGCATGTAATTAACGGTAGTAAAATTAGAAAATAATTAATGCTAATAATTTAGGAAATTACAGTTTTCTTAAATGTTTGTTCTACCTACTACAGTTTATACATAATAATCTTTCCGTTAGTCCATTAATTTAATTATTCTAAATAATTTTATGGTTTATGAAGGACCTTTCTTTGAAGGATTTAAAGGACTTCTATTTGAAGTCAACCCCCACTCTCCTGTGTAATTACCTTTAGCATAGAGGAAAATGCTTCCATTTTCATATTGCATTCTCTGCTTAAATACAGCCAAGTTAGTTGTAGGCATTTTTCCGGTATGCCTGAAGCGGTGTTCTTATAAGACCTCCCTTCAACTCTTGAATGGAATACACCCTTCAAATACGCCCATTATAGATATATTAACACTGTAACAAAGGCTCACACATAGTCACAAGTTTGGGCAATCCCCAGACAGACCTATGTGTGCACACCTGGAAGACTCTGGGGAAGCTGAGTCTCCATGTATGCTTTGTTGATCACCCTTTTGCCCACATAAGCACTTTTGTATAACTCATACAAGTTTCAGTAGAAGATGCAAGGAGGGCATGTGCATCATTCAAACTGAATAAGTTAGGGCAAGCATCAGATACTAAACCCCTAAACCAATGTGGGTTACAGACACAACTGCTCTCTTAGACATTGTCATATTTCTTGCTAGTTTGTGTGTGGCCTTTCTCAACCAGCCATTTCCCTTCAACCATAGCCAAGCCCAGTGCTACTGGAAAGTTTAAAAGAGGCTAGAGAAGAAATTACAGGGAGTAGATTGACTTTGATCAGTGGTTTTTCAGCTGTGTTCCAGTCGGAAGGGTAAGCAGGGCTGGCTAACAGGAGAGAATATTCCAGCTACTTCATCCAAATACTGATTTGTATTTGGGGCATCTTTGATCTTAGGCTTTTGAAGGGCTTTCTTCATCCTCTTTGGTGTTGTTTTGTCAAAATGCATTTATTTAAGGCTGGGTAGCGATGATAGGAAATGAAGTACATGCATGCGTGTGTGTGTGTGTGTGTGTGTGTGTGTAAGGTGTGGTATATTGATCTCTAATGTGAAATAGACCCAAGTTAGTTGTACCTGAGAAATTAAAACTCAAATCCCCATCCGAAATGCCCACAAAATTGTATTTTGACTTATGTAGTGAAGAAGTTCTTTTTTCTCATCTTTAAATCTAGAACTTATTTTCTCTTTATGGTTTATAAATTAATCTTTTACTTTTATGATCAAAACCACTATAAAAACACTGTGAAATGCTGAATGAGTAAACAAACCAAAAAAAAAAAATAGTTCCTGAGATCACACAAGGATAAATAAGTAGGGCTGAAAGGTAATAGCAAAAGGGAATGAAATTACTGGGATAAATTATTAAGTAACTTCCTTAAATTAAATTAGAATTGATTTTGTTGTTTCCTTAACAATATACTTAAAATGGAACTGAAATTTTTAAAAAAATCACTGCAAGTCATTCACATTCCTATAGATTAAATTAAGAGTTTCAACAGTATTTAGCAAGCACATACTGTTTTCTGCTTTAGATTGTTGTATTTGGAACATAATATTTGCCTGACTGAAATGATTCAGATCAATGGTTTTCAAACTGTTTCTTGGAAGTTTCTTAGGGGCCGGCATGTGGGGCAAAGGAAACAAAGCAGGCAGGGTTCCTGGCTCCCCTCTTCAACCCAGGCAACCTCACATTTATTACTTTTGTACATCAAGAGTTCTGCTTAGGATTTCAGTTAAAAGTTATTCCATTACTAAAGAGAAACAAAAAAGACTTTGAAAATCCCTAGCTTGGATCAAACCCTACTCTATATCAAGGGGTTGACTCCTAGAATTTCTTCCAGAGAGAATCTAAATTGTACATTTTTGTAAACTAATTTTAATACCAAGATTTGAAATGAAATGGCTACATGTGAATGTCAATAAACGTGTGTATATGTGAATCTTTGTATCTTCAATTTTGCATGTATTCATTCAAAAATTATTGCGTGTTTACTGCCAGGGACACTACACAAAATAGGATGGCTCTTGACTAGTAAGATGCTGTGGGGTAAATAAACATTACGTGAGGAGAAATGCAATGAAGATCAGCATGTGCAGGAAAGCATACTCAGCAGTAGCCTAATGGTGGGGGAGGTCACTGAGGGAGTGGGGAGGCCTAGAACAAGTGGTACTTGAGATACGTTTTTTTTTTACTTAAAAAGAATGTTAAAATTTTTAATGAACATTCTCATGGGGTATTTTAAATATAAGAGTAATACGTGTCTACTGTAGCCATTTTCAGCTGAGTTCACAAGGACAAATGGGAACTGTTTGGGTGTAAGAGATGGTAGAGGCCATGGTTATGTGGGTTCTGTTCCAAGCAGTCCTCACAGGGAGGGCTCCGTGGAGGGACCAGAGATACTGATGGCCTTCTAGGCCACACCAAGAAACTTGAAACTGGATTTGCAGGTAGATATAAGGAAATAATGAAGTATGTGTTGATCAGATTTGTGTCTTAGATCATCTGACAGCAATATGCACAGTGGATTAAAAGGGAACAAGAAGGGGAATGAGGAAGTTATTCAGATCAGTTGCAAAGATCCAAGTGGGAAATTATGATGACTTCGGCCAAGTTAGGAATGGAGAGGGGGTAAAGATGGGGACCCGGTCAGAGGAGATTGAGGAGAATTGTCGAGTTTCCAAGTGACTGGATATGGAGACTGAAGAAGAGGGAGGGTCAGTGATCACTGCTACATTTTGACAAGTGAAGATGGGTAGATGGCCTTGTCATTCCTGGGGAGGGGATAGAGGAGCACAGGTTTGGCATAGTGAATGAAGATGGCTACAAATGTTCTATGAGAATGTATGAGTGTATATACATATACCAGACCTGGAAAGTACACAGGTTACAAACATAAGCCCTGGAATCCCTATGTTCATGTCTTTATCCACCACGTCCTAACTGTGCACTTCTGACCTCTAAGCCTATTTCCTCTTCTATATATTGGGAAAAATAATACTTACCTCCTAGGGTTGTTGCAATGTAGAGTATAATATGTAGTAGGAACTCCATGAATGTTGTCAAATATTGCTATTATTTATCTTCCTTTCTCATACATAGACTCATGAAGGATGGGGAGGTGTAATGCTGGATTAGATTATTTTTGGGGTTCTTTTTAGCTATAAAGTTATTCATTCTAATATGTCTGCTCACTGTTTCCATGTGTGTAAACGAACACCATTTTACTCAGAAATGTTAATCATTTCTAGGAACTTGCCACATCAGACTCAGATTCCCCAACAGCAGACTACAGGTGAGTACCTAAAGTATTAAGTTGCTGTTCATGGGTGAAGCTAATAGATTAAAAAATAATTATAGTACTGTATAATTTATGAAGATTTAGTTTTACCTAGGAAGGCAAAACAGTTGTCATTTCTTAATCAGAGTTAGAACCTCAGAACAATAGCTTAGATTATTGCATAGATTGGCTTCAGAGTGATAAACACAAGGTAAATGATCTTAGAGCAAAAGCGTCCATGAAGGTCCTGTCTAAGGAAGACTGAATAAAATTCCCTTCCTTCAGCCAAGCTCCCTATTCTTCCCCTTGGAATGAAAGATTCTTAGTTTGGATGCATCCAGGATTTGTCTCAGTAAGTGAGCAGCTTGAAACTGACTCTTACAAAAGGAAACCATTGTGACTAATCACTGAGGCTCCAGGGAGATAAATGAGAAATGGTTTGCCTGGCATTAATGCCACTTTAAAAAGCTGTTATAACATGACCAGCGACAACAAGATGGTGGACAATTCCGCCTGGACTATTCTATTTCCCTCAGACTTGCTTTCTTTAAGTTTATTTCTTTCAAGTGCCTCCAAAAAATTTCCACAGCTAATTACTTCATTCATCTCGGTACTGAGTAGATAACTTATTCATGATTGTCTCCTAATTAGTGGTTGATTCCTAGTCCTAATTGCCAGGCAACCAGTAATGCCTTTGTAGCTCTTGGAAAGCCAAGAAAAGTCTTTAAAACTGTAAGTTGGTTGTGGAGTTCTGAGTATGAATAGTGGTATAGTGGTAGGAAAGCTATTAAGTAAGTTTCTTAAAAACTTGAGGCACATATAGAAATTTACTGGATGTCTTCATTCAAAAATTATCTTCTCTATTACTGCTTTCGGGAATTTAAGGAGATTTCCGTTTGACAACTTTTCAAAGATTTGAGGCAAGTATAATGAACTTGTTCATCAGATTTTAATTATAAGATAACATTTACCAGAATTTTCCCCCACAATTTTGATGGCTTGTTTTAATTAAATGCTAACATGTTTCAACAAGACTGTTCAATATACGGATGTGGTGGCGCTCCTGTAAGTACCCAGGAGATGGATGAAGGAACAAACTTTGTTATAAATATGTGGTACCTGAAGAGCAAAGAAACAAATGAATCCCTGCTACCACTGATTTTGTGGCTTTTTTATTTAAAGAGGAAAACTCTTTAAAGAATATGTGCACAGTGGAAGTGCTAGAACTTTTTTCTTCATTAACCTCATAGACAGCCATCTCTCTTGAGAACTCTTCCCTCTGATTCTTAATTGTTTCAGGCAAGGAGCGAGTCAAAGGGACACAAGGTCAACAAAATAGTAAATGGTTCTCTTGCATGTTTTAAAAATCCAGATTTTACTTATTCCCTTTATGAGGAGAAATAAGGAAACCTAAGTAGATGATGGGAGATTTACTGGATAGTTGTATAGATTTTTAGTAAGTAGACTTGTTGGTGTGCTACATTTTAGTAATATGCAGCATTTCCAAATACAAGGACAATTTATGCTTGAGCAAGTGTGATAAGAGCTGAAGAATTTCCCTAAGGGCCTAGATTTTACGTTCAACCTGATTTCCTAAGTTGTTTTTGGGGAGCAAGCATTATGCTTGAGTCAAGAAAGCTTTGATCTTTTTAGATAACACTGTTCCCTGTTACCTTCTCATGTTCTTACATTTTTCTGTAATTGGGAGCATATTGTTGCCTGAAGTACACTATCACCTCTTGGTTGTTTTCTTTTTCTTGTCATTTTCAGTGAGTCCCCAATGTATCTAAGTGCTAAAGGGAGAAAGGCCACCCTAGCATTTTTTTTATAATGATGATAGATTGTTGTGTTTCTGCCTCTGGTAAATGTAAAAACAAATAGGGTTATGTCTCCTCGAGAGAAGAGCTAAATGGGCAGATTGCATTCTTTATTCCCTTTCTATTCATTTGAATGAATAAATGAAATCTGTTTCTCCATTTCTAAGTTACTCTGTTTTGTTTGCACTTGCGTGGATTCAGGGGTGTTTATTTATTTTCATGGGTACAACAGCTTCTCTGTTCCTCCATCCTGGTTATTCTCATATCACAAAGAGGCAACAACATTAGTGCATGACTATCATAAAATAACAATTTGCTTTTTCCAAGTACCTCAGAGCATTATTCTAGTGTCATGGTTGTTTTTATGAAGGTAATTTAAGTACAGGGTTTGTCTCTTGAATACTAAAGAATTCTATGTGTAGCCATTTATATGAAATTTGTCAGGGGAGAGTGAATTTTGAAGTTGGTTTTATTTAGTTAGTTGTTTTCTTTGAAATCATCAAACTAGCTGCTGGTGTTGTAAGCCTGGACTTGAGCACTAGCTGGGATAAAAGAACATTTAAAAGACGACAATAGCACTGCCTTTGCAATGGGCCCAAGCCAGTGGGTTTGGTGCCCCTTCAGGATTTCCTCATTTCCTTTGCCCTTCCAACCCATATGATATTTTCTAACAAGCCATGATTGAAATGTACAGTCATACACCCCGCAGTCAACCTTACTTTTTTGCTTACTATGCTTTTTTGCTTACTTTTTTACTAAGCAAAAAGTCAACAACTTTTTGCTTACTATGGGAGGAATTTTCAGACCATATCTTTTGAGAAATACAAAACGTAGCTTTAGCTCAAGAGGGTGAGAGCTAATTTAGAATTTTTCCTTTTTTTTCTTTTTTAAAAACCAAATGCAGAGAAATAATGCAACCTAATCACTTTAAATTATGTTAAGAAAATAGAAATGTACTCTTTGTCAGGTTTTACTCAAAATCTACGAGTGTCCCTGCACTGACTAACCCATGCCCATATTTGTTCTTATGCATTGCAGGTAAATGGTATTCCTGAAGAAAGGAAACTTACTGAAGCAATGGACTTGTAATCAGGCAACACAGCAGTTACATCTTATTTCTTCCCTCTTCCAATAATGCATGAGCTTTTCTGGCATATGGTGTGCATGTCGACAGTATTAAGTATATACCAAATAATACGTATAACTTTAATTTTACTAAGGTATTTTTTTTGTACTTAAAGCATTTTTGACAATTTGTAAAACAATGATGACTTTATATTTGTTACAATAAAAAGTGATCTTTAAAATAAAAAATTATTAATGAAGCCTAATGTCTGGTGAAATTGACTTTGTAAAGGTGTTTGATTGCCTTCTATATAGTTGGAGTCTTTTGTTGCTACGAACAGGTTCATGTGTTCATTCTTCATTTGACAGGACTTTATTAAGTACTTCCTATTCTTATAAATACATATTTATTTGCTTATATTTATTTATATAAATACATAAAATGTTCTGTGTACCAAGTTAGCAACCTATTTAAATGGGATTTTTGTTTTTGTGGCCTATATAGTCTGTTCTTTTACTTACCACCTCATGGAGTGTTTCAGGGTGAACCTAGTTTTATGGATATGGATCTAGTGATACCCATCATGAAGGGCAGCCTAAGCTGCCGCATAATTACCTGACTCCGTAGTCAGATATTTGGTTTTAGGAGTAAGCCAGGAGTTATTATTCAAAAAGAGAAGAGTTACCTGTGCACAGTGACGTGCATTATCCCAGAACCACAGGCACCCCTGGGACAACACTACTTTTGAGGGTTAGCAGAGTTTCCTCATAGCATGTCGGTCCACTTCACACATTATGGACACTCTTGGGTCATTGTCACCATCAGGCCAGCTAGAAGGGCTGCTTTTGCTGAAGACTAGACCAGCTAGAAAACTTTCTCTTACTCTGCTCTAGGCAGACTTCTTCTGTGTTACCTGTTGTTTGGTCAGAGGACACATCAATGCTACTTAAATCTATTCCAAAATCTAGAAAATTCCCTGTGAGTATAGTGTGCAACAACTTGTCTTCCACTTAGGGAGAATATTCTATCATGTTCCTGACACTGGAAACCCTTTCCTTCCTTACTCCTTTCTGGGACTAAACACGATGTATGTTCTTTGATTTCTTAAAGATTTATCTTGTAAACTATTTCTTTCCAAGACAGCAAGGGCATTGCCACTTGGTGTTATTCAGGACTGTTACATCTTGAGGTTGTAGAATTCTGTCAGAAAGAAGTCCAGTACAGCCAGAGTATGGAGCACAGGGAAAGGATGTTGGAAAGCATGGAGGAAGTTGAGACTCAAGAGATAGATAGTCCCAAACCATGCATGACTGTAAAGGCAGAAAAGTAAAGTCTGAAGGATTTTAAGAATGAAAGATGTGGTCATATTTAACATTTTTATAGAGTCAATCCAGCTATAACAGGGTAGGTGGGTAGAATAGGTATGGATAGATTAGTTAGGAGGCTTCTGTAGACATGATTGGAGAAATAATAACTTTGATTAAGATAGTGGAGGAAGAGAGATTGAAATGGACAGATTCGAGCTATTTAGGAGCTGGTAAATTAATACTTTGGAAATTGTGTTATGGAAGAGAAAGGGGCAAATTCTGATTATGCATTGGTTATTTTGTGTAGGGTGTGGGGACTATGCCTACTGTAATTCTGAATAGTAATAGGGAAACATTAGAGCTAGATCACAAATCCGGAATATAAGTTTCCATGTAATAGAATGCATGACGCTGTGTGATGATTTTACATATGAGAAGCTAAACCAGAAAAGTGCTGATCTTAGAAGTAGATTCAGTTAGACCAGAAATCTGTTCATTAGTACAACCTCAGTAACTAATTTCTTGTCTGTTTTGCACCATTTTCAAATAATACGCAATTCCTTTCTAATGTGCCAGTTGAGAATGAAATTGTTCTTATACATTCACAAAAAGCAGTAATACAACAGAAGTATTGAATTCACTTGGTTCCCCTCACACAGGTGGTCCAGGGAGTCAGCATGTGGAAGCAGAAAGAGTGAGGAGGGGACGAGACTTTGAAGGAAAGCCAACAAAGGCATGTCACTGATCTGGCTATTGTTCTAGAAAGCAGAACTCAGTCCTACTGGGGATGCCCTAATGAAGTGTGTAGACTACACTGCAGAATTTTCCCTCCAAGTAACAGATTTAGACTGATTGACTGACTCACTGTCCTACAATGGAAAGTCATTCCATGAGGCATTAGCTCCCTGCTCTTCTGGACTTCGACTGCGAGTAGGCTGAGCAAGATCCTAGTGCTCTAGAGAAAACCCTGGGACAGAGAAGCTGGGAGATGCCATGGACACTTGCAAGAAGTTCAGAAAGAAACTGAACAAGAGTTAGCAAAATGTCTTGATCAAGGGACGCTGCTGGATTTTGCATCATGTTATTGACATACAAGGAGAAAAGGCAATTACTGTCACTTGAACTTGCTAGTTGACTATCAATTTGTAGTTAGATGAAATCACTGGTACCTAGCATATAACTGTGATATATAACATTTATATATAAAGGAGAATATGATAAGTTTTTCACTCTGCACTGAAAAAACATGCCATGAGAGGACTGATTTTCTTCCATTCAGGGAAAAATTATTTTTGAGCTGTGTTGATATGATACATAGAACCCTGAAATTAAAGTGGCTTAATATGATAAAAATTTACTGCTCACTCACATCATAGTCCAGTGCAATTAGGTCAGGTTTCCTCTATCTTGTTTGCTATATAATCTGGAACACATGGTATCCAGCATTTCTGTGGGAAAGGAAATGAGAGCCAAAGGGTCATGTGAGATGTTTTTAGGAGCTAGGTTTCGAAACAGCTTCTGTCACTTTCATCTACACTCTATTGGGGTAATGTCATGTTACCCAAATGTAACTGCTATGGACACTGGGAAATGTAGTCTTCCTGGGTTCTCAAGAAGAGATGGTGTGGTAAACAGGAGCATTGTCTTTGCCATAAATATGGACTGGACAAAACATCTAATCAGTGATTATGGACTAATTAGTTGTACATAAAAATGAAGGACAAAATCATGTGAATAAGTAGTTCTGTCATCCCCAATGACCTAAATTGTGAGTTACAACTTTTAATTCAGTGGAAAGAAAACCAACAAAGAAACTGCCTATATATAATAATCGAGCTAGATAAATTCTAGAGAAGTACTGCTTAGAATTCTTGTAGAAAAAATATATGATTATAAGTTCACAAGCCCTTCCTGCAATTCCCAATTCCAAAGATCTCAGTTTTTTAAATACATTCATAGCAAATCCATTTAATGGTAGAACCTAACTGGAACAAAAATGAGGATGCTTATTTTGTGTTTCTTACTCCTATTTGGTGATGTTTTGCTATGAAAATAATGACATTTTATTACAGGGCATTGCCCTTTCCCTGTGGAATATGTTACATAAAATGAGCAATGTACCTTACATCAACTACATTACATATAAAATCTGAAAACAATGGAATACTAAAATAGACCTGGTCCCAAGAGTTTCCAGTAATTTGGATTTAATGACTAATTTTTTAACTATTATCTTTAATTTATGTATGATTTTTCTAAAGTTTGGGATCCGTGTGTGTGGATAATGTGAATTAAGTGGAAAAACAATGAGGAAAGATTGAGATAAACTGCTGCAACAGAATACTATTCCCCTGTTCCTTTTTTCCCCCCCAAAACATCTCAGAATATCTTATTGGACTGAGTATCAGTCTCATTGTATTCATTCACTCATTGTGTATTTACTTAAAGCCTATTAAGTCCTACATACTGAATTATGCCTGGGAAATAAAACAGATGTAGTGTGTTATGAAAGACAATAAAGAAAGTCTAGTACACAGTCTGGCACTTGTTGGTACAAACAAGTATTTGTTGAGAGAATCTAATGTCAGTGAGTAAAGGCTATGAAGGTTAAAGGAATGTTGTTACAGAGAATGGGGAAGGCAGCTCCTTGTGAAATGATCAAATCAGTCTAAAGAGAAAACATTTAAGATAAAATAGGAATGGTCACGTGGCAGTTGTGCTAAGCAATCTTATCAGATGAAACAGCATGAATTTGAACCCAAAGGCAATGGAATGGAGCACAGTGGTGGTAGTTTCTGCCCAGCATCCATTTACCTTTCTTCCAGAAAATTTCCGTATTTTTTCTCTAGGCAACCATTCCCTGCCAAACTTTCAACACAGGTGCTTCCTCTTGAATTGACTCCATACCCAGGTCTGGCAAATCAACACTGACTCCCTCTGGACAGGGTTCAGACCTCTGGCCCAGGAGAGCCTGTGAGATATAATTCAGTTTTATCAAGTCTGCTGAGAGAGACGAATGGAATCTGGCATGGTTTACACCTCAAACTTTGACAATATTATATGTAATTATATTTCAATAAAAATAAAAAATAGTATTGAAAATGCAAAAGAAATTGCTTAAAAACTTGAAAGATGATTCTGGAGATGTAAACAGAATCCTGTTAGTCTTACAGAATTTTATCAGAGTTTGGATTTAATTCTAAAAGCATTGGAAATTAAGTGTTGGAAATAGAAAAATAATATACTCCAATTTACATTTAAAAATCACTCTGGGTCAGCGATAATGATAAGTGAAGACTGCTGATAATTCTCTCCTCCATAAATGAGACAACTGGCAAAAAAGTCAAAGTTAACTTTTTCAAAACTCTGAGACTTAACCAAATGCTTCTTGCAATTGGGGAGGGTTTATTCAAGAAAACAGTTGAAACTGGGCAAGAATAGCAAACTTCATGGCATTTTAACCTCCCTATTCTCATCCACCCCTCTCCAGCTCCATGATAGCTTTGAAAATAGCCCTCAATCATGGTGAAAACCAGCAGTCTGGGAGTCACCACGCAAGAAAGAATGAGGTTGGAGTTCTAAAACCTCATTCCAGGAGAATTGTCATTATGCTCCCTAGCCAGTGGTCCCTTGATGGCCATATGCAAGGCTGTCATTATTTGACCAGACTCAGAGCTCACCCAATAAGGAAAAAAACTTTTCTCTGGGGCATTTGGTGGAAACAATTAGAGGCAATTCATGAACTTCCTAGATGCCTGCAGTGGCGGCTAACAGTCGGGGTGAGGGAGGGGTGGGGAGAAAGTGGCTCTTTTCTGGATATTTGTTAGTATGGCTCTGACTTTTAAAACCATATCGGGTTTCACATACTCAAAACAAACAAACAAATATCCCAATAGTGGGAAGACCAAAGTAAAAACAAATGGATCTAACTGTTTGTAAAATGAATAACTTA